GGTTTGAGGACTGTCCATGGAGAGCCGGTGGGTGATAAGGCCCTTGTGGGGAACAGAGAGGGGACTCATCTGACAATCAGGAGGACTACTAGTTCTCCCTGAGCTCTGGAAGTCAGGAGCCAGGGTAGGCGCCATTTTTCCAGCCATGGTGTCAGGACAGCCTAAGGCTGCCCTTGCCTTTGCCCTGTGTTGCGGTAGACAGCACAACCTCCCAGCATCTGTGTGCTCAGCGAACCTGTCTTGAGTTACTGTGCACCAAGCAGGTTGATGCAGTCTAGAGCAGCGCTTCCCAGAGCACGGTCTGCAGGGAGAGATCAATTTATTATTTCTAATATCCCTGCCCCATGGGCTGATGTTGTGTGGCCCTTCTATGTGTACCATTTCACAGCTTGTGCCAGGTGAGGCTTGCTGAGTGACTTTGACACACTCAGATGGTCTATAATTCACCCGTGTGTTTGGAAACTGCTGGAAAATGAAAATCTAAAATTCATTCACCATTTCTATAGTACTTGTCCCACCTCAGAGTGATAGTATCAGCCCATGGGCCAGGTCCAGCCCAACCTGCACCTTGGGCAGTGACAGCAGAGGCTACTAATTCATTCATTGCCACAGGTGTGTATCTGTTAGGCACCGTTCCCGATGCAGATCACATAGTAGAGAACAAAGCAAACTCCCTGCACTCAAAGACGTGATGTTAGGTCTGCAGATACAGTGAATGTATATAAATAGGTAGTGAGTCAGGACTCAGCAACTGCTGAAAAGAAAAATAACGCAACATAAGGAGACAGATATGGAGGAGGGGATGACCTGGAAGGGTTCAGAGATAAGCTGATGTTCAAGATGGGATCTGAAAGAAGAGATTAAGCCACGTGGCTACATCTAGAGAACAAGGATCCTGGTGGGGGAAATGGCAAGGAGAGAAGCTCTGGGCCCAGAATTCTCTGAGCTGATACCTGCAAGCCTGCGCCTTGGAGGAGGATGGCAGAATCACCAGCAGGGGCTGTTTCAACCCAAGGCAGCTCTGCAGAGCCTTCAGATGGGGGACTCTGGCCTGCATACACAAATGCTATCCATGATGGGGCACCTTCCCACATCACTTGTTTTGGGGATAGAAAACCCACTGACCATCCCCAGCGGTTGCACGTGAGGAAAACATGACCTGCAGGGGGCTACAGCTGGATGGTGGGCAGTGAAGAGCCACACGGTGTCAGAAAAGACAAAGAAGACTTGAGGGTCAGTCAGAGGTCTCTTATGAGATAAAAGGTCACTTGGGTAGCAGGCCTTGGGGACTCTGTAAACAGGGTGCAGGTTAGTTGAGGGACAGAGGCTGGGGCCACTGGGAGTCCTGATAATCCTGCTACCTAACGCAGGTGGCCAGCAGGCTAGAGAGGCGCAGGTTGGCAGAGGGCATGCCGTGGAGGGCCCTCCATGGCGCCTTCGAGCATATAGACTTATCTGGTGATCCTTGGAGTGACTGCTAGATCCACACTAGCAGTGGAGGCCTTGGCAGGTCCTTGTGCAGAGGGGCCTGGGAGATGGGCTAGTGAAGGCAGCAGAGGACTGTGGACAACAGAGAGGAGTGAGGGTGGCTGAGGTATCGATGAGGAGGAGATGGCTAGGTCTGGTGTAGGGGTGGAAAGTCCAGGTCTAAGGAATGGTGGTACCCAAGTTCAGAGAGCTTCCCGGGACGTAGTGTAGACAAATGGGTGCCACTGGCCCAGGCTGGGATGGGTGAAGGAGAGCAAATATTTCCTGTTGTCCCTAAGAATACTCACAGGTGGCACTTGAAGCTGTTTACCCCTAGATAACACAAAGATTACAGCTCTAACTTTACCTCCAAAATGTATCACAAAATATTTCATTATTATTATTTTTACATTGCTCTAGTATCAATCATTTGGAAAATAAAGGCATCATTCTATTTCTAGCACTCTGTTTTTAGTAGTGGTATTTCCATTTTCAAAATACAGCAATTCTTGATCTCTGAAAATGAAATGAACTATAGCAGTGAGCTGCAATGTTTTTTGGTTTTTTTTTTAAATGGGAATGGATTAAGAGGAAGAGAAGTTCATGTTCAAACATACTGAGTTTGAGGTCCAGCAGTGCCGAGCCCTGGTAACTCAGCTCAGATATGACCTCATGTAACAGCCCTGTGAAAACCAGCGGAGCACTGTGCAGGCAGAAGATAGCTTCACAAGGCCCAGATGTCTGTGGTTTATGGAACATCTGTCTCATTCCAGGAAATGGTAGATACTTCTTTACTGGAGACCATTCCATTCTTAGGACCTCTTTTCAAGGCAGCTTTTGTTATCTCAGTCCTGAGCGTTTTCCTGCAGACCAGAAAATTGAGGTTCACAGCGGTCAAGGAACTTTAAGGAAAAAAAAAAGACAACCCATGAGAATCCTTCTGCCTTATACCTACGGCCTCTCACCCATGGATGGCCACTTCTGAAGGGTTCTGAAGGAAATGTGGGGCTAAAGTTCATGACTTTGATGTTAGGAAGACAACCAGGCCTTGCCCAGGTACCAGGTGCTGCGCTTAATAAATTAAGAGTGGAATGAACATCCCTCATTCCTCTGTGCTTGACAGAAGCCATAAGGGTAACGCGGTGTGATATTGTGATCCTGTTTCCATGGCACAAGAATGGACATCTCCCTTGTCCACATCCTCTGGGAAAGGGCTCTGTCTCTGTGTCTCTGACTCTGTCTCTGTGTCTGTCTCTGTCTCTGTGTCTGTCTGTCTGTCTCTCTCTTTTTCTCATACACATACACACACACACACACACACACACACAGGCCTTCAGTGGCAGTGGACTGTCATTCCAGGCATTCCAGATTAGCAGCAGGGAGAATGGTGGTGAGCACTGGGCCTTGGAGCTGATTGTAGAAGAACCCAAGTGACCCTTTTGGAGGCTCACAGCCCCTGACAAACTTGCATGGCAGCCAGTGGAGGTGGACAGGCAGTAGCAGGTGCAGGCCACCCTCGGGGGAGCATGGCGAGCTGCCCAGCCCAGAGCATGGCAGCTATTCTAGTCCTGCTTTCCCTTCCCTCAACCTGACTTCAGTCTATTCCCTGAAAATGCAGGAACCTAAAATTTTACACACTGATTTTACTTTCCTGTCTACCCTTGTGCCTTTCCCTTAATTATGGGCCTGTCAGGACCTCCCTTTACCTGCCCATGGCATGGCGTTTGTTGCCCCATAGTCCCTACCAGATGCTAAGCAAAGTCCCTATTTAAAAAATCCCCTTAGAAGAAGACCATGGCTTTGCATTTCAATCATCATGCAACACTTCTGAAAGAAGGAGCAAGTGCTGCGATCACACGTTAGGAGAAGGCATGAGGGCTGAGTGTAAGGAGATCAGGCCTAGTAGATATAATGCCTCACTTTCCCCTTCCACAAGAAGAAAATGCATGCTCTCAGGAAAATTCTCTGAATAACTATTGGAGATTGACAGAGCCACATCCGTATTAATGAGCCATTTGGAGATTACTTCCTTTTGCCTCCTACATCTATGTCTGCAAGAATTAAAAAAATTACTTTCCAGATCATTCCTGGAGTGCCCAGTTCTCTGTTCTGACTTTGCCAGCAAAGGAGCTGTGAACTGAGGTGTGAGGTTGCTGTAGTCCACAGGGGGGAGATTCCCTGGTCTCCAAGGTGCTTTTGCTGAGTGGGTGTTGGTGATTAATGATAATGAGGGGCTGGACTGCAGGGCAGAGACCTTTTTTTTTTGCACAACTCCATAGGACACCAGCCACCAGCCACACCTGGAGCCATGCAGGGCTGCAGGCTGATTGATGCCTGCTGCAGTGCTTGGGAGACTGGGAAACAGAACTGTTGGGAGCCGCCCGGCCAGGGTTCACATGGCTGCTAGGTGAACAGTTTCAGCCTGGAGTCCTGACAGAAGGGTCCTGCTTTCCCAGTCAGAAATAGCTCTTGCCTGGGCCCAGAAGAGGGGAAGGTGATCTGCCCAAGGACAGTGTGACCCTGGGGAGCAGGCTGCAGCAAGGGCTTCTGGGAGCTCAACCTCTTCCCTGAGGAGACTCCCTGATTGACAAGCTCAGTGTGCCCCGCATTCAGAGCACCTTGCCTCACAGTTGCTGCCTGCAGGCAGCTAGTGTGGGTTGGGTGGTGTGATCAGGGAAGGAATATGAATGAAAAGGCAAGTTCCTGGCCAGCAAGGATGGTCATCTGGTGTTCTGAGTCCGCTAGACGGTGGGAGAAGAAAGATGCCCAAACCCAAGTGTTGGTGGCGCTTCATCCTGGAGGCCACCCAGATCATTAATTTATTCATCCAATCCTAGGCCCTGGGAGTAAAGGAGTAAAATACCAAAAGGACAAAACCCCTCCCCCCACTTTATAGAGTTTATAGTCCAATATAAAGAGAGATAAGGAACACGATAAGAACATTTATATGAGATGGGCACAGTGGCACACACCTGCAACCCCAGCTACTCAGAAGGCTGAGGTGGAAGACTGTGAGTGTGAGGCCAGCTCCAGCCACTTAGTAAGACCCCTCAGTATTTTAGCAAGGGATGAGTCCTAAGAAGACAGAGTAAGGCTGGGAAGGAAAACACAAGGCATTGTTGGGGGCTCAATTTTACTTTTTGGTACTAGAGACTGAACCCAAGAAGAACTGAACTTTTTATTTTTATTTTATTCAGGGCCTCACTACAGTGCTTGGGCTGGCATCAAGCGTGTGATCCTTCTGTCTCAGCCTCCCAAGTAGCTGGGATTCATAGGCATGCCCAAGGCAGGGGATGACTTCTGAGTAAAAACCAGTTGGAAGTAAAGGAGCCGGCAACTGAGAATGCATGGTGTGGTAGTGGGGTGCTGGGAGGAGGGGCCCTGGCCGAGAGAACAGCACAAGGGACAGCACACCTGCCTCAGATGTGCTGAGGAAAAGAAGAACCCAGCATGGCTGGAGGGAGCGCAAGATGGGGCCAGGGGTCACTGGGCATGCACAGGGAAAAGGTGTGTGACCACGTTGGCTCCCACAGGAAAAACTGGAGTATTTCTTCCTCGTCGTCTTTTCCATTGAAGCGGCCATGAAGATCATTGCCTATGGCTTTCTATTCCACCAAGACGCCTACCTGCGCAGTGGCTGGAATGTGCTGGACTTCATCATTGTCTTCCTGGGGTGAGGTTTGGCAGGGGTGGGGGCTGGAGTCTAATGCACCCAGGGGCATCCAGGGTGCCTACCAGGGCGACAGGGCACCCCAGGGTTGTGCTAGCCATGGCAGGGAGCAGCCTCCCTTAGAGTTCAGCTTCCATTAGAGGCCTCCCTGAGTGCCAACACTGTGGGTGGGAAAGGAAACACTGCTTCGCAGCACTTGCCAGAGAGCCCACACCCTTCCCCAGAAAGGTGCTGTCCGTGCCTTCATCCTCTTTGCTTCAATGTGTGGAGATGATGTAGGTTCTAGTGGCCACAGTTCCTGGGGCTCCCTTTTCTCAAACCTTGTCCTCAAGTCACTTACTCCACACACCTGTCTTGTGTACCAGTCATTTGGCTTCACAAAAGCAGGCATTTAGCCGCCTTATTAATGTCCCTGGCTGCCATAACAAGGTTCCATTCACTACAGGCTTAAACAGTGCAGATTTATTGTCTCATGGTCCAGGAGGCTGGAAGGCCAAGGTCAAGGTATGAGAAGCTTTGGTTTCCCCTGATGCCTCTCCTTGGCCTATAGATGGCCCACTTCTCCCTGCATCCCTACTCCACCTTTCTATGCACACACACGCACTCCTGATATGTCTGTGTGTGCCCAAGTTTCCTCTTCTAAGGACACCATCAACTTGGGTTAGGGCCTGCCCTGATATCTTCCTTAACTTAACACTTCTTTAAAGGCCTAATCCCTAAAGACAGTACACTCAGAGGTACTGGAGGTTAGAATGCTAACATATGACTTTCGTTTAGCCTGTGACATACCCTTCAGCAGTGCCCGTGGAGCATTTACCTTGTGCTTTATGTGTAACATCTCACCTCATTCTCCCAAAAGCCTTCCTGCTTCCTCATTTTATGGATAAGGAAACTCAGGAACAGAGAAGTCAAACGATCTTCCCAGGGTCACAGAGCTAGCCACCTGGTTTCTAATCAAGGCAGTCTTGGCTCGAGGGCCGTACTCTTCACCACTATGGTGCCCTGCAGTGAAGTAATGGTTATGTTAGATACCTGCTGATTGATTACCCAGGGCTGCTCTCAGTACAGGGAGGAACACAGAAGAATTCTGTGACTCAGCCTCTGTCCTAGTGAGCTGCCCTGGTTGGAAGCCAAGATAAACTGTGCAGAATAGACTCAGAGAACAATGCTACACAGTGTGTCCCAGAGGGCCCCAATGTCAGGAGGACTCAGAGAGAGACTTCAGGAGAATGTCAGAGGGCAGCAGAATTCTGAGTGACTCAAGAGAGGAGGAAGACAGGGAAAGGATGAGGGACGGGGTCAGCAGAAGAGAGGCCCAGGGAAGAGCTGCTCTGGGCCATCTTCTCCGGGCTCTGCTGAGTGTGCAGCTAGCCAGGGCCCTTGCATTCACCACAGATGTCCTCAGTCCCAGGCGCAGAGCCGTCCCTGTGCACATGTGCCACAACCCACCTTCAGCATCCCACATAGCAGTCACAAGTGGTTCACAGTTCAGTTTTCATACAATCTGAATTTGGCCTCAAAACAAAATTTTAAACAAAATTCTCCAGACAAACAAAACCAAATCATCAGAGTTAGCAGATAGTGAACTGTATTTGCCACCTGCCACCTCACAGGGGTCCCCTTACACAGCAGCCTCACCGATGCCTGTGTCCTCTTCTCTCCATCTTCTCCTCTCCAGGGTCTTCACTGCGATTCTGGAACAGGTTAACGTCATCCAGACCAACACGGCCCCCATGAGCAACAAGGGAGCTGGCTTGGACGTCAAGGCCCTGAGAGCCTTCCGCGTGCTCAGACCCCTCCGGCTGGTGTCGGGAGTGCCCAGTGGGTGGTGGTTCCTCTGTAGACTCCTTGCTTTTGCCACAGCCTGTTCCCTTGTTCCCAGAAACTTCCCATGACTCAGAGAGCAAGTGGGTCACAAGATAGAGAGGGAAGCTGACTCCTCTTTCCCTGTCCCTGCCCTCTGTGGCAGGCCTGCAGGTGGTCCTCAACTCCATCTTCAAGGCCATGCTCCCGCTGTTCCACATCGCCTTGCTCGTCCTCTTCATGGTCATCATCTATGCCATCATCGGGTTGGAGCTCTTCAAGGGCAAGATGCACAAGACCTGCTATTTCATTGGGACGGGTGAGCCTGGGACATAAGGGGGGCCAAGGACAACCCAGCATGGGGGACCAGCTGGTGAGGAAACTCAGGGGCCAGTCAAGGCCTCCTGTTGAGTGTGCAAATGGGTTTCTCAGGACACAGAGTTGTTGCACAAGAACAGTTTTTTTCCAGAGTCTGTGATCAAGGAGTAGGGACGAGGCCACAGCTTGTGCTGAAGCACCCACCACTCACCCTACAACCCCTTCCCTGGCACCCCCTAGGGTGTGGTGTCTTCCAAGCTTTCTTGGACACCTGTGGGTGGACAGGCAGGCTTGGGAGAAGCCTGAATTTCTTTTCCTATTTTCCCTTTAGCTACAGCTTAGAGCCAAGAGGTTGTCAGGTTGACGGAAGCAACCTACACAGAGCCCAGGTAGAGTCCAGGGAAACTCTGAACCTCAAAATTTTGGCTCCAGGATCTCTTTGTTTACAAAATACTGAGGACCCCAGAAAGCTTTAGTATATTTATGTTTGATTTATTAGTATTCACTGTATTGGAAAGGAAAAGTGAGACAAATATGATGTCATCTTATTTTTATTTATTTTTCCATTATCAAGGATTACCAGGCTTCCAGGGTCTTACACATGCTAGGCAAAACTTTACCACTGAGCTATATCCCTAGCCCTTTTTAAAAAATACAAATTTGAGATAGGGTCTCTCTAAGTTGCCTAGGATGGCCTCATACCTGTGATCCTCCTGCCTTTTGAGGAGATGAAATTACAGACTTGTGTTACCCCCCTCTGGCTTATTAATACATTTTTTTTTAATTTTATTTATTTGTTTATTTTGTGTGTGGCCAGCTCAGCCCATCAGGGGGCGGGGCTGGCTGGCATGTGGTGCTGGGGATTGAACCGCGGTCCCTGTGGTTTGCTTAGCTTAGCTTGTTCTAAGTAGGTGCTTTAGACCACTGAGCCATCTCACCAGCCCCTTATTAATACATTTTTAAGGAAAAAAAAAAATAAACCCATGACATGAGAACCATGAATAATGTGTTTTTATGAGAAAAAGAAATGCTATAGCTCGTAAGACCCAGAGTACTTAGTGAGAAGACTGGTAGTGTTTCACACCCTTTGCAACCTTTGGCTTCATAACGTCCATGGGACCACATGTCTGCTTTTGTGTGCAGTCTGCTCAGCATCAGAGGGATGTATGATGCTGCTCCTTACTCTCTGAGAGGCTGAGAAAACTTTTTTTTTTTTTTTTTTTTTTTTTTTTGGCGGAACCGGGGATTGAACTCAGACCTTTGCACTCGCCGGGGAAGTGCTTATTCTACTGAGCCATCTCCCCAGCCAGAGAAAACTTCTTAATGTTGTTATGAAGATAGATCTGAGAGGGTGGAGCCCTCCGAGGATCTCCATACCTGCTCTGTGTCTCCCTGCTCCCCATGGACAGCAGGGTGCTAGGACTCGACCTGACCTCTGCCCCTCTCACCCTGAGTGTGGTTCACGCTGAGGTCTACAGAGAACTGAATGTGGAACAAGAAAGAAGTACTGTCCTCAAGGACAGGCTTGCACCAAAGGGACCCGACCTGCCAGGTCACCCACCTCAACCTCCTGAGTTGCTGCTGGCCTCTTCGTGCCCACAGTCAGTGGGAGCGTCAGACCAATTTAAAGATGAAAAACTGATAAAGCTTTGGTGGCTTCCTAACCTTGCATTTCAGCCTCTTCCCATCACTGTAGCAGTTTGCATCCCATAACTGGCTCTGTCAGGCAAACAGGAAGGGATCTTTTTTCTCAAGCTTCCATCCAATTTTGGAGGTCTCACCAGTGTTCTCAAGAGGGCCTGGGAAAATCCTAGGTTGCAGCACTGAAAAACTCTTCTCAGAGTGGGGCTACTGACTTCTCCGGGCTGGCAGTCATGATAAATGTCCCCCCATCCCCATCTGTAGAACACTGAGTCCACGTGTAAACACGAGGAAGGTAGGGCACCCCATTTCTGGTGAGTTACCTATCTCAAAGGGAGATGGTAAATGTCCTAAGATAAAAGGGGATTCAGATGTCTCTGAAGCTGTAGAATTTTGGAGACAATAAAAGCACCATCCAGGAGACCAAAGTGACTTCTGGGTCAAGGCCTGTGGGCAGCTTCCGCAGTGCAGACCCTGCTCCACAGATGACATGTCTTGCACACCATGGCCCCATGCTGTGCCCTTTGAGCACCTGCATTTCAGCCCCAGACAGACCTCCCTGTCCTCCAGCTTGGCTGCTGCCCTCTCTAAAAGCTCAGTGAGCCCAAAGGCTACTCTTCCATCACTCCAGGTTCACAGGGAACACTTGGGGCCAGGGAGATGGCTCAGAAGAATAAGCACTTGCCTGGCAAGCACAAAGGCCTGAGTTCAATGCCCAGTTCCGCAAAAAAAAAAAAAAAAAAAAAGCATAGGGAACAGTTAGTAGGACAAATAACCCTAGAAGGTGGCCATTCAGAGAGGCCCTGGGGCCTAAGACATAGTTACTGCTACCCTAGCCATCCGCTCACTGCTGCTCTAGGCCCCAGGTTCCTTCAGCCTCTAACACTGCTTGCCCCAAGGGAAGCAGCCCCTCGCATTTTCACCAGAGTGTGTCTACACCTTTTGCTCCATTGTGTTAAGTTGCTGCATCTATTCTTCCCACCTTGTCCGTCTGCACACATGGTCTGACACTAGCTCCACCTTCTGTCTGCAGATATTGTGGCCACAGTGGAAAATGAGAAGCCGTCACCCTGTGCCAGGACAGGCTCAGGGCGCCCATGTACCATCAATGGCAGCGAGTGCAGGGGTGGCTGGCCGGGGCCCAACCATGGCATCACCCACTTCGACAACTTCGGCTTCTCCATGCTCACTGTGTACCAGTGCATCACCATGGAGAGCTGGACTGATGTCCTTTACTGGGTGGGTCAGGCCTGGACCTGCAGGACCATTCCCTCCCCAACAGGCTTGCTGCAGAGTGGGCAGGGGCTGGAGGGGCTGGAGTGCCCTGGCACAGATGTGGAGCATGGCCTGAGTGTTATCTCAGCAACATTTGGGGTCATCCCCATGGTACAACCTGTCAGTGCAGGACCCAAGATGAGGGATGAGGATGGGCAACCAGGAACCCATGGGTCCATTCTCAACCTCTAACTTGTCGCTAAGCATGTGTGTGACTCTGATGACCTGCAACTCAGACACTTGAGGGATGAATGAATCCCTCTCATTGAATCAGTCTCCTCATCTACCACATAAGGATAGTAATACTTCCCATGTTGTAGAGGTAGTGGGCAGATTCACTGAGACCCAACAGTGCTTGGCGCATGCTCAATGCTTTAGGAGAGTTTTCTTCTTCAAGTGTATTATTTATTTGGTGTTTATTAAGAGCTAGGTTGTATTGCTTACTTAATTCTCCAATAATAGATGGCATTGCTCCCATTTTCCAGATAAGGAAAGTGAAGCTGGGAAGGTTAAATAACTTTCAACTTAATGACAAATACAGCCAAGGATTGATCTAGCTGGCTTCAACCCAGAACTCTTAATCACAACGTGGCACTGCCTGGGGCGGGGGGGGGGGTGTTGTAAAGCTGTCAAAAGCTTTGCAAATACAAAGGCTTCAGGTGAATATTTCTTATAGCTCGCTTTAGAGAAGCAAATTATTAAACATGTCAGTGGAGTGTCACACATGTTATTTCACCTCTGCTACAAGCCTGTGAGGAGAGAGCACATATCATTATCCACATTAGACAGGTGGGATGATGCTCAGACACATTAGGCAGCTTGACTAGAGTCACAGAGGTATTCATTTTGGAAAATCTTGTCTGTAAAGAAACAAACTGGAGAAGTGTTCTCCGTGCCGAGTCTAGTCCAGGAGGCAAATGGGAGATGCCTTTGATTGGAGGGAAAGTGGTTTAGTCCAGGCCAAGCCAGGTGGCCTTCGGGTCTTCAGAGGTCTTTCAAGCCCAGATTTGGGTCCCCAGGCTAGCAAAGGTCTCCCTGCTGCCCCGATGGCCTCTCTCCTACTCCCCAAGGTTGGTTGGAGTCTGAGTGAACAGAGTTGGGGAGGAACTGGGCCTTTGGTCAGAGGACAGAGCTCACACGTTTGCCTGGACCAGGTCAACGATGCTATCGGGAACGAGTGGCCCTGGATCTATTTTGTCACCCTCATTCTGCTGGGATCCTTCTTCATTCTCAACCTGGTGCTGGGCATCCTGAGTGGGTAAGGAAGTTCAGAGGCAGCTGCAGGGAGAAGGAGGAAGAGGGGAACAGGAGGGAGGAGCTGGGTGGGGCGGATGGGTGTGGGTTAGGCCCTCTGCTCTTCCCTAGGCTCCAGTTAGCCCCACTGGGCCAGGAGCACCTCTTCTGCATTAGCAAACAAATGGTAGAGGTGCAAGCAAGACAATTCAGGTTTTAATCTCTTCCTCCCTTCTTCCTTCAAGCTTTTTTCCATTCTTCCTTTTGTCCTGAGTAAAGCCTGGTGATCCCAGCCTCCTGTCCCCAAGTGTTCCTAAGCTGATGTTCCCTGCACAGTCTCTGGCTGAGCTGCCTACTTAAATCTCCATGCTACTGCTTGCTTTGTCTGATTTTCTTCTTCTTTTTTTTTTTTTTAAATTTTTTTTTTTACTTATGTGTGTGTGTGTGTGTGTGTGTGTGTGTGTGTGTGTGTGGCCAGCTCAGCCCACCAGGGGGCGGGCTGGCTGGCATGTGGTGCTGGGGGATTGAACCTTACCAAAGGTCCCTGGGCTTTGCTAAGCTTGTTCTAAGTAGGTGCTTTAGACCACTGAGCCATCTCACCAGCCCCTGATTTTTTTCTTCTTTATCTTTCTTTTTCTTTTCTTTTCTTTCTTTCTTTCTTTCTTTTCTTTTTTTGTATTTTAAGTAAAGGTCTACAGGGTGTTCAGTGTCTCACTACTAGATCAGACTCATAGTGATCCGCCTGTGTACAGCCTCCCAAGAGCTGGGATTACAGGTGTACGCCACCACGCCCAGTCTCAATTGCCATCTCAGCGCATCCCCGGGTCAGGGCTGGCATGGCAGGCCCAGGAATTGAAATCCCAGCCCCTGCTCCTGCTGGCAAGCACTTTAATCCACTGAGCTATTTGACCAGCCCTTTGTCTGATTTCTTAACCTCTTGGTAACCCAGTTTCTTTCTTTCTTTTTTTTTTTTCAAAGTTTTATTGATAAACAGATAGCAATGAGACAGTTTCAAATCAAATCGGAAGTACAGTTTCAACAAATAATACACTGCATATATTCTTAGTGGTTAATTGCTGTACAAGATGCGGACTTGTGATCCTATTTACAAACACTATTAGAACAAATCATTCTATTCATTAAGAGAATGCAACTATATATCTATCCCAACAAAATGGAATAAGGATTTTTTTTTGTTCCTCGCATGCCTTCAGGGCACGTTTGGCCAGCGAGAGAGTTGTGAGATTCGAACTCCAGCCACCTAAGGTTGACAGCTTTGTGGAAGCAGCCACTTAAAGGACTGAGCTAGGCCCAGGCCCCCAAAATTGGGGCTTCCTCTTTTTTTTTTTTTTTCCGGAACCAGGGATTGAACTCAGGCCCTTGCACTTGCCAGCCAAGCACTTATTCCACTGAGCCATCTCCCTGGCCCCGGTAACCCAGTTTCTGTATCTGTTGAGTAGGAATAATTTCACAGGGTTGCTTTGGGGATTAAAAATTAAGAAACACAGAGTCCTTAGGACAGGCTGCAACACAAGAAGCACTAGGCAGTAGCAGGGCTGACTGATGAGTGCAGTTCTCCACATTCCCACCCAAGCCTGAAGCAGAGATAGCTGTGAACATCCCCTCCCTTCCTGGTCCCAGAAGCTTCCCCTGAGGCAGTCTGGAGAGAATTCAGGGTGTGTTAAGTTGGTTAGGGGACACTTACCTTTATTTCCTATACTCTCAATGGAAATTTAGCATTTCCTTTATCAAGGAACACAGGTGACAAAACACAGTGATACTAGCAATGGCTGCTAGGACAAGGTGACTGCCTTTGGAGTAGACCCTCCTGCCTCTGGGGCCATCTCAGAGCCCATGACCAGCCCACGGCTGCCCTCTGCTGGCCTGAAGGTGCCCTGCTGGCCCAAGGCCTTTTCTTGATGCTGCTGCTAGGCTCCTAGACCTGAAACTTTCTCCAGGACTTAGGACTGCAAGTGGAAATGATTTCTAAGGTGGTTTAAAAGGTCACGTGCAAGCCGGAGAGCTAGCTCAGCATCATCAATGCCTGCCTGGCAAACGCGTATGAGTGTGATCCCTGGTAGTGCAAAAATAAATAAAGGTCAGGTGGTTTGAGGATCCATCCCCAACAGGGCAAGGCACTATCTTGTCATTGATCCCCAGTACCCAAAATAACCCTAATTTAAGTAGGAGAAAAGAAAATGGATGAAGAGAAAGGAATCCGAGGGCCAGAGAAGTCTCCAGTGTGTGTTGAGGGTGGACATGGGTGAGGGGGAGTGAGAACAGCTACCCTTCAGCTGTCTTGAGGGGCACCTGGACCCCAGAGGACACCCTGGGCTAGGTGGAGGCACATCAAACCACAAAATGTGTCCCTTTTTGTCCCCAGGAAGCTCAGTTCTCCTTATCCCTTCTTTCCTCTTTCTTTCTGGTCTCCCCATTCCGTTCCAGGGAATTCACCAAGGAGCGAGAAAAGGCCAAGTCCAGGGGAACCTTCCAGAAGCTCCGGGAGAAACAGCAGCTGGAGGAAGACCTCCGGGGCTACATGAGCTGGATCACACAGGGCGAAGTCATGGATGTGGAGGACCTGAGAGAAGGTTTGGGCCTGAGGCCATGGTCAGCAGCCCTCTCCCCACTGTTGAGCTGCACCTTGCATTCAGCTCCATGGAGAGCAAAATCCCATTTAGCCTTCCCCAAAGCCTGGCAGCCCTTTAAGCAGGTATAACATTTGCTGTTAGAGGATGATGGCTTGCCTAAAACCTTACATCTCCAGATGTTAGAATCCAGCTGTGCCAAGCTCTTCCCAGAGTGCTGTGGGGCAGACCCACAGTGGCTCATCCCTGCAGATATGGGCTTATCAGGTCTTGGGAATCTGGGTCTGAGGAAAGAACAGAAGGATCTAGGTCCACTTAGGGACCACTGTCACTGATGTCCTTTCCAGGGGGGACTAAGCCAAAGCTGGCTGACTATATACATTTGTCCTGTCCCCAGGGAAGCTGTCTTTGGATGAAGCAGGGTCTGACACAGAGAGCCTGTATGAAATAGAGGGCTTGAACAAAATCATCCAGTTCATGTGAGTATCTGCCCATCCCACTGACAAGCGGGCCTGGAATCCAGCACCTTCCCCTCAAGCTGATTTCGAAGCTCTTAGAAAAAAGGCCTTTCTGGAGAAGTAGGGTCAGCCCTTTCTCTGAGGACTCTGCAGGGCTAGACATCTGAGAATGAGCAGTTACAGAGGGCCCTGAGCAGGTGACCTATTTATACGCCTCACAAGGAAGCAAGTGGAAACCCTTAGGGGCACCCAGCAAGGGTAGGGGCTGGGGGAGGCGACTCATGTGGGAGGAAGGAGTATGTGTGCTGCATGGCAGCCTGGGATTTTCCAAAAAGGCAGTAGCCCTGGGCAGGAGTCAGGAGACAAGGGGCCACTGTGCATTGTCTTGTCTTTGTCTTAAGAGGAGGGTTTGTTTGGTTGGTAGGCTGTGTTCTTTTACAAATTCATGCATAATTACGGCCTTCAAAAGATCAAACAGTAGAGAAACACATCAAAGAAGAGAGGAAAGTCCTTAGCGCCCTTCAAAGAGGGGTAACCATAGTAACAGTTACACACTCATCGTTCTAAGATCTTTTCTGTGCTTTCATCCCTCTTACACACACACACACACACACACACACACACACACAGATCAGATATTTGTTTTTGTTTACATCACGGGGTTATGTGTGTTAACTACAGTCCCGAAGGGGATTCAAACAGTGCCCAACTCATAGGAAGGGTTGACAAATATCTGTTGAATAAATGTGCATGATGTGTATTATCTCATACCTATATTTTTCTTAAAATTCTCTACTGAGGATATTTTTTGCATCTATATATACATATACTTGGTGTAAACATGCATGTCCTTTAAGTATACCTTTGAATATGGACTGTTCCACAGTACACATACATCAGCATGCGCTTCATCTTTCCTGCTTTGGGCAAAGCATACAGTGCTGCAGGAATAGCTGTGTAGACGTCTGACCACTTTAGCCAAATGGAGCTACAAAAATGGAATTGCTGGATCAAAGGAGAGCGGGTAGATGTTAAACTTCGGCAGGTGCTGCCAGATTGCTCACACCTAAAAGGCTCTACTAGCTATGAAAGCACCTTTCTCGTGTACCTCCCCCGGTGCCTTCTCCAGACATTATTCATCTATTTAAGATTTCTTTATAATGGGCAGCATGTATGTTTCAGCACTGTTTTCGCTGAAATCAAAATGTCTACAGTGTTCTTTCCAGCTTGTGCTAAGGGTTTTGCTTACGTTATCTCATTTAATCACTTTGGAGGTTGGATCATTACCGTCCTCATTTGAAAGATGAGAAACTAGCAAATGAGCCAGGCTCACGCTGTTGCCCTTAGCTTTGCCCATGTGGTTGGGCAGTGTGGGTGACCAGAGGCGCATAGCTGGAGCGGGGCGAGAGGCGCTGCAGACTGGTAGATCGAGCGCAGCATCGCTTGGTCTTCCTCTCCCTGTCTCCCCGCTCAGCCGGCACTGGAGGCAGTGGAACCGTGTCTTTCGCTGGAAATGTCACGACATAGTGAAATCCAAGGTCTTCTACTGGCTGGTGATCCTGATCGTTGCCCTCAACACCCTGTCCATCGCCTCGGAGCACCACAACCAGCCGCTCTGGTTGACCCATTTGCAAGGTGAGTCAGAGGGAAAGACAGGAAGAGGGTGCCTTGGGCTCAATGCCAAAACCGCCAAGGGAGCCACAAGGTTTGCAGCAGAGGTGAATCTGATTTTGACACTGTTTTCTAGAAACTATCGACTATTGGTGCTGGATTATATGGTTTTGACAGTAGGAAAATAGAGACCTCACAAGGCAAATGGCAACCCAACTTTACTTCCCTTGATGTTGTTACTCGCCAGAGGCAGTGACAATACTTTGGGACAATTACCAGGTGCTTGCCAAGGTGTCTGGGCAAATTACTTGATTTTATTTTATTTTTTTGGCAGAACTGAGTATTGAACTCAGGCTCTTGTGCTTGCCAGGCAAGTGCTTATTCTACTGAGCCATCTCCTCAGCCCTAAGGGCAAATTATTTTAGTTAGAGACATTGCACATAGGATTACCAGTAGTTTAGAATGCCAAGCACTCAAGTTCAAATCCTACTACAGAAACAGCACTCTTTCATCAACGATTTGTTGACTGGATACTGTGGTTTAGACATAGCAAGAGAACTCAGGATATAGTGGGAGCAGGTGTGACTTTTCACTTGAAGGAATATACCTCACCAAAAGGGAAGACAGATATTAATCATTTCAAGCCTATCTGAGGAGGACAACAATAGAGAGGAGGCAGCCAAAGGAGAGTCACAAAGAGATGTTGGAGCCCCAAGATCTGGAAGATAAGCAAGCAAAGGTGGTCACAGGTTAGCAGAGATTCCTGTGGAAGGAACAGTGTGTGCGGAGATGTGACACAGTCCGTGAAGCAGTAAATGTGGGAAGTCCCAGAGCTTTGTATGACCTGAGAGAACAGCAAGAGATGCGTTTGCTCATAGGGGCCTTCCGTGCTGTCGTATGTTGTTAGGAGTTTAACCTTTGGGCAAAGGGAAGCTGGGGTAAAGTTACGAACAGGAATAGAATGTGATCAGACTGGGGGCTCTGAGCCAAAGCAAGCTGCCTGGCCTCCCCTGTGCTGCAGATCATGTTATGTTCTGTGACAGAGTTCTGGGCTATGACAAAAAGTAAGGTAAAAGAGGGCCAATTCTAACAACATAGCAGACAAACTAAGTACTCTGCCCACTACCAAGGCCTAACAATGCTACATCCATTATAACAGCAACAGCAAGGAATAAGAAGAAAGCCTCTGGGAGGCAGAAAGCAAGCAGTATCCAGGGCAGGGCAGTGAGCTCATGAGCTGACATTCAGGTTGATAGGTTCTGGCTCTAGTATAAATTGCTAAATTATGGTGGTCATCTAACATGGCTGAAGCCCAAAATCAACAGCTTGTCTTCCTAATGGCCACTTCCACCTTCTTCCCCAGCCCAGTCCTAGATACCTTTCCCCACGCACACAGGAGAGACCCCAATCAGCTCCTTCTGTGTCACTGAACCTGCCCCTCAAGCCACCCCTAGCAAAAGCCCATAAGGTCTCGGCCTTCCTTTGTCTCAGGTCAGAGGATCCCCCATCTCCCTGCTGTTGATCCTTTCGGTATCTTCAGAGTTAATAAAGGCTCCTCCTCTTTATCCTCCTCCACTTCCTCCTCCTCCTTACCCTCCTCTACTTCCTCCTCCTCCTCTTCCTCCTCTTTCTCCTCCTTTTTTATTTCTGCTTGTGTGCTGCACTGCCAAAATAACCCAGCACAGGTGTTTCAGACCTAGATCTAAACCCTCAAGGGTGGCAGTGAGGAGCTTAATGCCTGTACAGGGGCAGGACCTAGGGCCCTGCAAAGGGTGCCCCATGCAAGGGAAGTGAAAATGTTACTGTTCATTGGGTCACTTAAGGAGCTTGGAAGTTTACCTCCTCTAGAGACCCTAGAAGGAATAAAAAAAAGTCTCAAGTGAAACATTAAACTCTAATCTGCACCCTGTATAGGTACAGAGTTTAATCTACGTAATCTTTTATGATACAAGGACTATAAATAAAGATAGGAGCATAAAAAACTAGTTACAAACAAGTGAGATCCCCGGGGGTACTCAAGAGAAGCCAACACAAATAAGTTTTAAGGATGCTTCACAAGCCAAGGCATACAGGTTCCCTGCAAGGGAAATCATTTCCTGATGATGAGCTTATGATTTTAAACAAATTACAAACCATCAATGAACAGAAGCACCCTGAGGAAGAGTTACTGGGTCCAACTAAGGAGAAGTAAGGAACCTGAGATAATAAAACAGTGTAAAAGAGACCCTGTTTAAAGTGATAAAAGATTAAAATTAATAGAAGAAAAAAACAGCCAGGTGAGGCAGCACACAGCTGTAATCCCAGCAGTCTGGGAGCTGAGGCAGGAGAGTGGCAAATTTGAAACCCGGTCTGGGAAACTTAGTGGAACCCTGTCTCAATATAAAATCTTCATTAACAAAAGAGAAAGAAAAAAAAGAGGAAGGAAGGAAGGAAGGAAGGAAGGAAGGAAGGGAAAGAAAGAAAGGAAAGAAAGAAAGAAAAAGAGAAAGAAAGAAAGAAAGAAAGAAAGAAAGAAAGAAAGAAAGAAAGAAAGAAAGAAAGAAAGAAAGAAAGAAAGGGAGGAATGCAGGGAGACAGAGAAGGAGGGGAAAGAAGAGAAAAGGAAGAATTGATTGTTTTCTGTGGGAAGGGTATGGGAAACAGGTGTCAATCAGATGCATGCATCCATCACTCAGCCACTTGCCCATTCATTGTAACTGGCCTCCTTGAGAGTCTTGAGTGTACTTGTCATCCATCGTCAGTGAGTCAGTGTGGGGAAGATGGGAGCGCTGCCCTTAAAGACAAGTGGAGGTGAAAGTGTAGTTCCACTTGCTAAGATAGGGAAGGTGGTCAGGGACCCAGGGCTTTGGTGGGTGAAGAAGGACAGGCAGGACCCATTGGCCTGATGAATTTGAGGTGCCTCTGAGGCAGCCCAATGGAGATGTCAAGGAAGCAAATGAAAAACTGGGTCTGGAGCTCGGCAGAGAGGCCCAGATCCCTAGAAGAATTAAATCTATGAGCCATTGCAGTTGCAGAGATGATGTTGAAGCTAGGGTTTTAGGTATCACAACTCACGAGGGGACAGTTTGTATTCAACTAGGTAGCACAAGTCCTGTGATCAGTTAAAAAATACATTTGCAGAGGAGACTTAGAAAAGCAGAGTGCAGGCACACACCTGTAATCCCAGCACTTGGGAGGCAGAGACAGGTAGGCCATTTTGAGTTCAAGACCAATCCAAGCAACAAAGCTACAAAGCTCAAGGCCAGTTGGAACTACAGAGGGAGACCTTGTTTCAAAAAAGAAAGCAAAGCAGAGAAAATTCCAAAAGATGTGGTGTCACAGAAACCAAAGGAAGGGAGGGTAGGGAAGAGAGAGGGTATGTTAAAGAACAAGAGAGTGGTCATCAGAGCCCAGTGCTACTGGGACAGCAGAGACGCAAGGATCAAACAACCATTGGGTTTGGCAACGTGGAGCAATGAGTCCCTTGAAAGAGTGAGGCAGAGAACCAGCTCTTCTGGTTCTCAGAGAAGAGTGGGGCAGAGTGTGGTGTGACAGGCAGAGAGCAAAGCCGACCACTCTTTGGGAAGTTCCCCATGACAGGGAGGAAGAAGCTAGGACAGGAGAGACAGACAGCATGGGCCAGACCTGGGTGTCCTACATGGTCATGCTATGGTCCATTTGAAAGCATGAAGTGAAATACATAAGAAAGAAAAGGATCACGGATAACGGCAAAGCTTCATGGGGCAGATCGGCTTGGACAGTGGAGAGCCCTTCTCTCTCCGAAGAGAGGAGGGTGTGTAATAAACTAGGAGAATGAGTTTACCTGAGGTTAAAAATGACAAGACTTCCCCAAATTTTCTAATACAACATTAGCAAAAAACTGACATTATTAATTTGTTGTGCCTTGGGAACAGTTATTGTGAATTCGACTGCACATTTCCTTAATTTAAAATAAAAATAGCAAATATAGAAAATGATTATATTTCATTATGCAAAGTTAATTTACTTTCTTGCTAAAAAGATTTGATTATTGCCTTTGCTTCAAATGGAACACAAATGAGGCATGAGATTTTCTACTACTTTTTCTCAGTTGAAAACAACTTTGAGTATTAACACAGTCATTAATATTATATATAAGATCTAATTTAGTTGGTTATTGATTTGTGTACTTTCACACAATAAATAGTGAGAGTCTGAAAGAGTTTGAAGCAGAAATGTGCTAAAAATCACTGTAGAATATTGGCTTAGGTCAAACATACTGAACATTTCTTTGGCTAACAATATAATCAATAAGTATTAGTTACATTTAGGAATTCGAGTTGCTTATTCATGTCACTATATAGACACCTAATACAACAAATAGACTCAGGTTTATTCAACATATGCAGTTTCACTATTCTATTTTTTTTTATAGAAAACCAGTTATAAAGTCAAATATATGATTAAAATTTATATTGGAAATAAAAATAAAATTTTGAAAGTCATAGCCAAAAAATTTATGGAAAAATTCACCTTAATCTATTATTTATATAAATTTCAACTGGCATGACCATTTGGAAGATAGATTTGTCATTACAAAAATGATACTATGGAAAAGATGATATTTAAAAAATATTGCAAGGGGCCAGGGAGATAGCCCAGTAGAATAAGCGCTTGCCGAGCAAGTGCAAGGGCCTGAGTTCAATCCCCAGTTCTGAAAAAAAAAAAAAGAATTAAAAATAACTCTTTAAAAAAAATAAAAAATATTGCATATTGAAACTTGAATTTCAATCTTCATATTTACTTCAAGGAAATATGTTCAAGTTTACATTTTTATGAACATTTTCTGTTTATATCTATATGCAGTTGCTTCGCCCTTTGTAACAATGCCATTATGTTTCTATTAGGTGACATTAAAACTAATTACTATGTTAATTACAAAAAAAAATGACAAGACTCTTGGTGGGCATTGTGGCACATATCAGTAATCCCAGCTACTTGGGAGGCTGAGGCAGAAAGATGGCAAGTTCAAGGCTAGCCTGGGTAGCATAGCTAGATGCAGCCTCAAAATAAAAAATACAGATAGCTTAAATTGCTTACATAGGCAAGCGTAGGGACTGGGGTTCCATCCCTGGCCTGCCACGTCAGCCCTAATCCTGGGTGAGCTGAGATGGCAATTGAGACTGGGCATGGTTCCTCGTGCCTGTAATCCCAGCTCTTGGGAGGCTGAAAACAGGAAAATCGCTATGAGTCCGATCTACATAGTGAGATCCTGAAGGCCCTGTAGACCCTGTACTAAATGCATAAAAAAAAAAAAAAAAAAAAAAAAAAAAAAAAAACCTGGCGACTTTTGCCTATTGAAGGAAACTCACCTGTATTTCTTGTATTTAAGAGCAAAGATGTTTAACATTTATTGTTATTATTATTATTATCATTAATTTTTGTTATACTATGAATGAGACCCAAGGGGATTCTACCATTAAGCTACAGCCTCAACCTTTATTAGTTTATTTTATTTATTTTCAATGTATTTTAAATGGCCAGCGCGTCGCCAGGTTTTATTGGCTTTTAAAGATTTTTTTTTTATTAACTTAAGGATGATGCCTGGGGGAGCTGGGGCTCAGAGGTGAGGTAAGGCAGGGGCCTGGCGCTGAGTCTGTGCTGCCAACCCACAGATGTCGCCAACCGGGTGCTGCTGGTCCTCTTCACCATCGAAATGCTGATAAAGATGTACGGGCTGGGCCTGCGCCAGTACTTCATGTCCATCTTCAACCGCTTCGACTGCTTCGTGGTGTGCAGCGGGATCCTGGAGATCCTGCTGGTGGAGTCGGGCGCCATGACGCCCCTGGGCATCTCCGTGCTGCGCTGCATCCGCCTGCTGCGGATCTTCAAGATCACCAAGTGAGAGTGCGCCCGGTCGGGTGGTCGGGGCTCTGGGCTGCCGAGGGAGCCGCTAGGCGCTAGGCCAGGCGCTTATTTCCTGCAGTCTGGGATCCCTGCACCTTCATCTCCAGCCCTGGCCCAGCACCTCTTCCCCCTCTTCCCTCCAGCACTGAAAGTCACTCCCAACCTGTGAAGTCATTTCTGTTTCTCTCTCACTTCTTCGGGTATCAGAACATAGCAAGGGGTGGCAAGGGAGGAGAAAGGAAGGACAGCAAAGGCAGCTATGGGAGAGGGAAGGAGAGGGAAAGAAGAGCAGCAGAGAAAGGGCAGGTAATAAGAAGGGAGGAGAAGAGGAAGGAACACAGGTGGGGTCTCAGAGCTGCGGGAAAGGCTGGAGCTCCTGTGCAGTAATTCCCCTTATGTACAGGATGCGTGAGACTCCCGAAAGCCGTGCATGGTGCCGAGCCTGGTCCACACTAGTCTTTTTCCCACTCATCCAGCCCTATGATAGGGGTTTATAAATTAGGCATCGTAAGAGATTATCAACATCTAATAATAAAATATACGAGTTACCACAACATACATAAAACATGTATGTGAGTATGGGCTTTGCCCTCTGGCTCTAAAATTACCTCATGGGCCTGCATACACAGGATTTGGTAGCTCCCACAGTTTGTCCCAGGCACCCAAAACCACAGGTAAGGGGACTGCAGTGTTGGCAATTATTTTGACGAGCCCTGAGGTCCTCTGGGCTAGGCAGAGAGCTGCACAGGGAGGGCCAACCCTTGGTCTCAAGGAGTTTCCAGCTAAACTGAGGGGCCAGAAGTGAATCCACAGCCCTTCTGAGGTCATAAGAGCCTGATGGGAAGGAGAGTGCATGTGCTGCATGCACCTGGGCCCTCTCATCCCGCACAGCCCTTGCCCTCTGTGTTCTCCTCCTGCCCGTCTCACCGCTCCTCTTCCTCAGGTACTGGACATCACTAAGCAACCTGGTAGCTTCCCTGCTTAACTCCATCCGCTCCATCGCCTCCCTGCTGCTGCTGCTGTTCCTCTTCATCACCATCTTCGCCCTGCTGGGCATGCAGCTCTTTGGGGGCAGGTACGACTTTGAGGACACGGAGGTGCGGCGCAGCAACTTTGACAACTTCCCGCAGGCCCTCATCAGTGTCTTCCAGGTAGGCCAGTTGCTCAGGTACTCCTTTGTCTTGGTGCTGGCTGGATCCTGCTGCTTGTCCTTCAAGGCCAGGGCAGCATCCCTTCTTCCAGGAAGCTTTCTCTGATCTGTTGGTTCAGTTCAGTGTCCTTCTCCGGGACCACACCCTAAGCACCTGTGCTTGCTATTTTCGAATGCACTTGCCTGTGCTCTCCATGGGGGTTGTGCCTAAGCTGATTTATTGTGGTCCTGGTGCTTCGCAGAGTGGCGGCCCCCAGAAGGCAGGGTGGCTGTTGATGTGTGCCTGGTGTTGGAAGGGCCATGAGGGCAGAGGTGCCTGGCTTGTGTCCCTGAGAGCAAAGCCAGGCAAAGTGGTTGCTCCTCTCCTAGGCTGGGAGGCACCAGGGGCACCTCTGCCACCCATTCACCGGAAGCTGCCCAAAGGAGGCTGGCTGTGGCTCAGTGAGATCCCTAAGAGCTACATATCCCCTGAAGCAGCTTTCTTGTGTAGCGCCTAGAAATGCACCTCTCCGCTATAGCCCAAATCTCATCGATCACAGAACCCTGTGGTACCAGCCAGAGGGGCAGTAGGTGACAGTCAGCTGTCCTTGTGGATGGCTTCATACTCTCTGTCTTCCATTCACCCTAGGAGGCTTCTCAGGTGTCATGCTTGTCAAGGGACCTGACATTCACACTATCTCTGGAGTTTGGGGGTATAGTCCAGTTTAGTCAAGGGATTAGGAACAGAGCTGGGGGCATAGTGACACCATGGTCAACCTCCTTGGCCCTCGAGTACCTTGGAAAGGTTTAGATCATTGGAAGAGGGGTAGTAGAGAGAGCAGGAGGCAGTCACTTGTGGAATGAGGACAGGCCTGGGAGACTGGATAGGGCCGCAAGAAGCCTTTTGGACCATGCAGGCACGATGTCTGCATCCCCACCCTTGTCTCCTCCTTTCCTCTTCACCTCAGGTCCTGACGGGAGAAGATTGGACCTCTGTGATGTACAATGGCATCATGGCCTATGGAGGGCCAACCTACCCAGGCGTGCTTGTGTGCATTTATTTCATCATACTTTTTGTGTGTGGTAACTGTATCCTCTTGGGGGCAAATGCAGAGAGGGACTGAGGAGGAATGGGAAGAAGGGCTTAAAAGAGAGGTCAAGGGTACCCACGTGCTAGACAGCTGGGCCCTCTGGCTGGAGGTAGTGCCCAGGCTACAAGTGAGAGGACTTAGAAAGGCAGGGATGGTGATAGGTGGCTCCTCCTACCAGAAAAGTCTGGGAATCACAGGCGCCATTGCTACAAGGTGGCACAAGGGTGGGAATTAATCCCTTGCAGGTTGGTGAGCTTGGAGCAATGGAGGAGGCACAGGGCTTAGCTGAAGAGAGTGGAGATGGTATGCAGCCTGGTCCTAAGGTTCAAGGGCAGACAGGAAGAAAGCAGGACCTGTGGCCAGGGGTGGTCGTTCTGAGTACTGGGATCAGGAAGGTTGGGCCAGGACAGGCCAGAGATAAGCACAGCAGATCGGAGGGCAAGGCAGGCAGGGCCATAGAGATGCTGGTGGTGCCTTAGGGGTCCCCATGCCTGCGCTGTGGAATCCAAAACCTCAGGAGGGAACTGAGGGAATCTGCACTGAGCTCAAGCGTGCCAGCAGGAGGTCTACTTGCTGTGCCTCACTGGTGCTCCCTGTAGCCTGATGTGGGGGCTGGGAGCTGGGATTGATTCTGGCCAGAAACGGGTTGGATTCCAGGGATGGAGCAGATTCAGGCCCAGTCATGCATACAGAGCTTCCCCAAGGAGTCCAATCTATGTCCAGTGCCCACACTGTCCTGTGGTTAGCTCTGGCAAGAGACACTCCAGGGATAGGCCCTGCCAGCACACAGGCAGGGAGCAACTCCTGCTCCAGAGGCTTCCTCCCCACCTGCAATCAAGTTTCCTCAGCTGGACTCTCCTAGACATCCTGCTCAACGTCTTCCTGGCCATTGCTGTGGATAACCTGGCTGAGGCAGAGAGCCTGACTTCTGCCCAGAAGGCCAAGGCTGAGGAGAGGAAACGTAGGAAGATGTCCAGGTGAGTGCTGCATCCTCCGAGGGAGCTAGAGTGCCGGGTCCTGGTTATGGCCCCCTAGCTCCAGGCTGGTCCTCCCTAACGCCAGAACACCAGGCCTCTGACGGCCAACAAGCAATCCTTAGGTGGGGAGAAGTGAGCTGGCCTTCTAGACAGGCCTCAGATGTGATGGCAGAGCCTGGGAGGTTAGATCAGGCCACACGCTGAGGACTACTGGGCTTTCTCCTCCCAGCCGTGCTACTGTGTCACAGCACTTGCCGAGCCTCAGGGTGCTCCCTCTGAGGCAGGGGTTGGCATCCTGCTTAGGCCCTTCACCAGTCACTCCAGCTGGGATCTGCCATGTCACCTGAAGCCTAGGACTCTCCTCCAAGAATAGAAGGACTGATCTTCCAGACCGTGTTTCTCAAACTCAATCTGCAAACAGACCCCGTGGAGACCTTGTTAAAATACAAATTCTGTTTCAGCTGGTGCAAACCAGATGGGGTAGGCCAAGGTTCTGCATATCTAATGTGGTCACTGTAGGTACCAATGCTGCCTGTCATCAGAGAACCACCTTGGTGGACCACCTTGCTAGGCTTGGGACAGAGGCCTGCTTCTCCAGTGTCCTACCTGCAGGAATTTGCACTCTTGAGAAGGAAAGATAGGAAGAGCAAGCAAGACAGAAACCAGCATTGGAGTTCAAGCACTTTCAGAATAGGAACTGTCTTGAGTCAAATATGGTTCTACACTGTGACTCCTGTAGGAACCGGGGACAAAGTCAGGTTCTACCCTTTCACTACCAACAGACTTTGAACATGGCTGAGCAGAAAGCTTCAAGCATGGGCTGTGCATTGTTCTTTCTTCCCACAGAGAAGGACTTGCCCAAGCCACTGCTTCTCACTCGGGGGCCAGTGCTCCTTCCTGCACATGGGCATGGGCTCCTCCTGAGGGTGTTGTCGGGCTGAGCAGACACCCTCAGAGCTTCTCATTCAGCTTCCATTTTGAGTTTCCTTGGTTTTCTAATTCAGGGGTCTCCCAGAGAAGTCTGAGGAAGAGAAGGCTACAATGGCCAAGAAGCTAGAGCAGAAACCCAAGGGGGAAGGCATCCCTACCACTGCCAAGGTGAGATTCTTTATGGGGTATTTTACAGGCTAGATGAGAGGCAGGAGCTCTGAAGGTCCCTCCATTCTATGCCTTGGGGAACTGGTGGGGCAGGGATAAGGGGTCGGGGAGGGGCCAGGTGCCACCCTGGGGCATCCCGTTCTGTGGGAGAGAGAGCCAGTGCATACCCCTCCTCCAGGGATTCCTGGGCTGAGAGAGAGAGGCTCAGACTTCCACAGAGCCCCAGCTTCCTGCCCCAGAGCACCTCACCTTCTCCCTGACACCACAGTTCTATAAAGAGGCCAAGCCTGGCTTCTCGCCGTGGCTGGCCCTGCCCTGCTTGTTTCAGCCTCATTATGTTCAACACTCTCAGAGAGTAAGGAAATGGAGCCAAGGAGGCAAGAAACTGGGTCCCAGAGGGATGGGAGATCCTGGCCTGGGAGCTCAACCCTTTGCTGTGGAACCGAGCAGGGGGCTCACACAGGCCCACACAGGCTCTGTCTTTGCTCCCAGGGGCCTGGCTATGCTGTCTGAGCTTATGCCTCACCAAAGTCTTCCTTATGTTCCCTTCTACAGCTGAAAATCGATGAGTTTGAATCCAACGTCAATGAGGTGAAGGACCCCTACCCTTCAGCTGACTTCCCAGGTGAGGATCCTCAACTGTGACTAAGGGGGAGACTCTGCTCGTACAGATTCTCCCAGGACAGTCTCCTGTGTGTCCCCTGTCTGGGTTCCGCATGGAGAGGTCAGGACACAAGATGTCCTTCTGTGCCTACTCTTGCACCAACACCATCTGCCAACCTGCCCCTCTCCACAGTGCGCACAGTAGAAAGCCTCGTGCAATCTGTTTTATTTTCTTCAGCAAGTATTTATGGAGGGAGTTGGCCAAAGAGCTCAGTGGATGAAAGCACCTGCAAGCAGGTGCAGGGGCCAGAGGTCCAATCTCCAGGCCTGCTGGCTGGTCCTGCCCCCACTACCAGGGGCGATTTTACATCTCCTCGTGAAACTTAGTGACTCTAAGCTCTCAGGGGACTTTTTTGTGCTCCAAAAGGCACAGAGGTTGGCAGAGAACAGGAACTCAATAAATAACATGGACGAATACACAAAAGGATTTTGCAGGCCAAGTGTGGGGAGAGTGGAGATGCTGTAAGGAAGACTGATAACATCTTTTAAAATACCTTCCAGAAATGAACGTTTGGAGCTTAGAATAATTTACCTGGGCTCCTTTCACATGATGTTACTAGGTGTTACAGGGGAGAGGCTGGCATGCAGGGGCGGGAGGCTGCTGTGGGGAATCTGAGGTGAGGGAAAGAGGAAGGGGTGGGGCAGTGAGGAAGGCAGGGGCCAGGGGGCGTGTGGGTGGGCAGCTGGAAACAGGTTTTACCACGGACACTGAAAGTGTTTATAATCCAGCTTTTTTCTAAAAAAATAAAATGATAATAACAACAACAAAAAAGAATTACTATAAAAGGTATGGACAATCAAATGAAGACAAAGGGAACATTTAAAAGAGAAATGGATGCCAAGAAGTTACCTTAAGAATTGACAGCTTCTACAGTTAGGCACACCATGTGCCTCTAGAGTTCGTGGTGGCCCTGGAACAATGAGAAGCGTCTGTCATGTTAGGACACCACTTTGAGGAAGAAGGAAGAGCCATAGCTTCTCTGGCAAGCCAGAAGCGGGAATGGAATTTGAGTGGGCGTGGTGGGAACCCTCCCTGGTTCCACAGCGGAGAGCAAAATCTGGAGTTCTTGGCTTCCAGAGGCTTCTGCCGGGCTTGGGAGGAGCAGGGAGGAACCAAGAGGAAGCCAGGGAGTGCACAGTGTGTTCTTTGGGTCCTCACACCCAGTGCTCTGGTGCACTCGCTCGTGAGACCCCAAGCCTGGAGAGCAGGGTGGGGACATCCTTCTCTCTTTCCTCTGCTTCCGCCTGTGCCTGCCATGGTCCTGTCCCTGGTGCTCAAGAAATACTGATGCCGAAAGTTCCTCTGAAATTATTGCTTTCAGAATTCTCGCGTAGCTGCCGAGTTCAGAAGTTCCTTTATTGTGACAACTTTCCAGGCCCCAGATTCACAATTTGGGCTTGTCTGGTACTGCACAGCAAGTGAGAGGCAGGACTAGAGCTCTCATCTCCCGAAGCAGCCCCTGCTGTCCTAGCTAGGTGTGGGAGTACAGAAGGTACAACATGGAGACTCATGGGCCCAGCCTCCAGACTCCTGACAGTTCAGGTCTGCTCCTTGAAGGGCAAGGGAGATGCCCAGGCTGGGCCCTGGTAACACCATGTTCTCCACGGTGGCCCACGGTCTCCTCTGCTTGCTGGTGGCAGGGACCACTGGGAAGCCTCTGAGCACAGAAGTCAAGGGCATTGCGAAGTTTGGGGAGACATTCCTAATCTCTCCTTCTCTCCCCACAGGGGATGACGAGGAAGATGAACCTGAGATTCCAGTGAGCCCCCGGCCACGCCCCCTGGCTGAGCTGCAGCTGAAAGAGAAAGCAGTGCCCATTCCGGAAGCCAGCTCCTTCTTCATCTTCAGCCCCACCAATAAGTGGGTGTCCCCCTGGTGCCATGTTGGGTGACAGATGCAGCCCTCAGAAAAAGCTGCTTTCCTGCTCTGAAAGGACTGCTTCATTCTCCATGCCTATGATTACCCATGAGAAACTTGCTCCTTGAACTTAAGATCATGTGTTCTCTTTCAAATGCTAGTACTGGGCAGGAGTGTGGCTCAGGGGCGGGGAGCACTTGCCAAGCAGGCCCGAAGGCCTGGGTTCCAGCACCAACACCAAAAACAGAAAACCTTTAAAAGTAAAATAAAATTCAAGGAAGGGCAATGCCTTTAAACCTATCAGTCTTCACACCTAACGGGGTCATGCACACTGGCTCCTCTCCAAGAAGTTTCAGACAGGATGTGCTTAGGGCTTCACAAGGTCAGGCCTCCATTGGAGGTCAGCCTGCTTCATCCCTTGTGGGGGAGCTTCCAGGTTGTGATACACTGGGCAGCAGGTGGCAGGGGGGTCTCGTTTGGGAGACAGGACAAAAATAGAGGAGGCCAGAGTCCCTTTGTGTCCCAAGCAGAGGACCATTCCAATGCAAGGCTATGCTTCCTGTTGGCCCTGGGGGACAGGGCATGGATCCATTGGTCCTCTTCAGGACAGAGGTGGGTAGAGCCCAGGCTTCCAGCAGCCCCCACAGGGCCCCTGTCCCCCCTTTCTGCCACACCAGGATCCGTGTCCTGTGTCACCGCATCGTCAACGCCACTTGGTTCACCAACTTCATCCTGCTCTTCATCCTGCTCAGCAGTGCTGCGCTAGCTGCCGAGGACCCTATCCGTGCGGAATCCACAAGGAACCAGGTGAGGGAGGCCCCTTCTGCTGGCTCAGGAACCTCCCACCTCCAGCACACACTTCTCATTCGGGTGTCCAGGTGGCTGCAAGCAGGCCTCAAATCTTAGAGTTCAGGATGACCCTCCCTTGCCCTGAAGTGCACTGTCACTCAGGGAGCAAGGCAGGCGCTCTCTGTGTGCTTGGGTGACAATAGCGATGCTAGCAATGGTGGACGTGGCACCAGTGCCCACCTTCCTCTCAGTGGCTGTTTCTCCCCTGCCTCATCCCCAGATCCTCGGGTATTTTGACATTGCATTCACCTCTGTCTTCACCGTGGAGATTGTCCTCAAGGTGAGTGAGGCTCTGGGATAGACATCCCTGGGTGTGGGGCTCCTCTGAGAGGAAGGGGCACTTCCTGATGTGGCTCCAACTTGCATCCAGTGGACACACTCAGGGCTGGACTAAGGGGTGGGAGAAGAGCAGGAGGAAAGTGGACGTGGTAGGAAGGCCTCATGGGAGCTAGGAGATGACAGGGTGAGACAGTGAGTGGGTGGATGGCTGGAAGGCTGGGGACTTGGAGTCCAGCCAGGGTGTCGCCTGCCAGCTCTCAGCAGGGCACACCTATGGCTACAAAGTCTTTGGCACCTTTCCGCCATATAAGCTTAAGAGCAGACCTGGGAGCTGGATTTGCACCTAGACCTTAGTTATTAGTGGTTGGAAAGGTCTTTCCCTCCAGGAGTATCCAGAGAAGCGACTGTTGTCTGGCCTGGCAGCTCTGTCCTGTGGTGTCCTTTTTGTCCCTTATCTGCAGCACATCCTTCCTGACCTCAGGAACAGCATATTGTGTTGAAGCCATCACAGGGGCAGTGGGCTGGGGATGGGGAGGACCCCTCTGAGCCTGAAACCCAGTAGCCCCAACATTCCTCATCACCCACAAGGAGAGGGGAGGGCAGCACACACAGGAGCCAGCCCCAGCAGACCCTGGGGTTGCTCTTAACGCAGGGCCTCAGCTACTGAGTTGAGCAGAAGTTTATGGTGGCTTCCCTGAGGTCAGGGACTTTGTGAGGGTGGAGACATTAGATCTAGGCCTTGAAGTCAGACAGGACTTTATCAGGGAGAGACAGCCTGGAGATTCTAGGAGGACAATGACAAATATACTGTAAGGTGTGGGGATGTGCTTAGAGAGGAAGCAGTGGCCCCTTTGGGCTGAAATATACTGCATACAAAAGGAGCCCTGGGTACTGGGGCTGGAATAGCAAGAGATAGACTCATACAGGGACTTGAATGACAGGAAAAGCTTCCCCAGCCAACTGTGAGGATGTAAGAGGCTTGTGCAAAGATGGTTAGAGAAGAAACCTGTGAGGGGGCAGGGAGGCAGAAGCTGGGAAGGGGACTACAGAGGGGTGAGAGAGGAGGTCCAGGCCCTGTTGAAGGTTGGAGTCTGCAGGGGCTGCTCAGCTCAGCTCAGCAGTCCTGGCCAGAGGAGACTTCCCAAGTTTCCTGGGGAGGCAGAGGAGTTTGGTTGCTGCCCTGAGCAGGCCCACTCCACTGGGAGCAGTGAGCAGGGCAGTGCATTTAGGCTGCTAGGGAAGCCTTAGCAAGTGCCTTTCCTGGTCAGACTCAGGAGAGAAAGCCTTCTTTGTGGGATGATCAGTCCCCAAGCCTCTCCCATCCAGGACGGTGCCCCTCTCCCCCCAGATGACCACCTACGGTGCCTTCTTGCACAAGGGCTCCTTCTGCCGCAACTACTTCAACATCCTGGACCTGCTGGTGGTGGCCGTGTCCCTCATTTCCATGGGGCTTGAGTGAGCAGTGGCAGAAGCCAGCACTGGGCATGGGCTTCAGAGTGGGAGGGCTACCCTCTGCTTGGTGGGCATCATGAGGAGGGTCTCTCAGGGCTGTGGATGGGGGAGCCCATGGGTGGTAACCAGTTGGACTGGAGTGGCAGTGTTCAATGGGCAGAGCCCTGTCATGGGCACTGGGAAGGAAGACAGAGAACAGTGCCCTCTCTCTCTGGGAGACCACAGTCCCCCACTGGGCCACTCTGTTGGGAGAGGAAGCCCCTATTCTGCTATGTGGCCCATCTGTGAGAGCTAGCGCTGGCCTGCTAGTAAGGAGCAGCTTTACCAGGGCTGGACATGCACAGTCTAGGGCCAAGGGAGGTGGAAGTGCTCAGGAGCAGAAAGGTGGCCACGTGGAGAGGCAGTTGGGTGGGCGGGATTGGCTGCATTCAGCCCCCCATGCACCTCCCACAGGTCCAGCGCCATCTCAGTGGTGAAGATCCTGAGGGTGCTCAGGGTGCTTCGGCCACTCCGAGCCATCAACAGGGCCAAAGGGCTAAAGGTGCGAGGGGTCCAGGGTGGGGGAGAAAGGGTCCCCGCTCCAGAACACTGCCCAGCCATGGCTGGGGCTCTGGTCCATCTCCTCAGTTATGTGGGGGGTGTGATATTTCCTGAGAGCTCTCTGGGAGGCGGGAGTCTTGCATACCTGGGGTCCCTTGGCTGTGGCCGTGGGGTGCAGCTGGTACAGGCCTGGCCCTCTCTCTCCAGCATGTGGTACAGTGCGTGTTCGTGGCTATCCGCACCATTGGGAACATTGTCCTGGTCACCACACTCCTGCAGTTCATGTTTGCTTGCATTGGAGTCCAGCTCTTCAAGGTAAGCCTTCCTGGTCCCACCTCCAGAACCCCCCTCACGAAGTCCAACTCTTACTTTTCCCTCCAGGAAAATGGGAAGAATGGATGTCCCTGAGTACACAGGCTAAGGTGGCTCTAGTCTAGATCCAGTTGCCTGGATCATGCCCATAGTCTTGTGGCGCAGCAACCACCATCACCACTGTGCCAGCCCTGACCAACAGGCTCAGCAGTCACACCCCCTTACCACCCTGCCCCTGCCTCCTGTTCTGCCAGACCTGTCTAATGCACCCCACCACAACCCCACACCTCCACCTTCTCCATCCCGTGTAACCAGTTGGGACGTCTCCACCACATTATCTGCTGGAGGTCCTGGGTGCAGTAGGCCTTCGTTTCATATCTGGGTCTGGCTTGATTCTGTTCTGCCTTTCCTAGGAGAGCATAGCTGTTCAGTCCTCTCTAGGAATCACTCCTACAAGAGTATCCCCTTCCATAGAGCTCTGATCTCTGCATACCTCTAACTCTCAGGTTTTCTTCAGGGCATAGAAATAGAGGTCAGGGAACAGGCACTAGGGAAAGTAGTCAAGACAGGCTCCTGGAGGCCCTTCCAGGGGATGGGTCGTATTGTACTGTCCTGAGGAGTGAGGGTGCCTATCATGTCAGGACATTCTACCAACCTGCATCATGTGGCTGTCACCTCCTTGTCTAGCAAACAACTGCCCTTCCTCAGGCTTAGGGCCCCAGAGTCCCCCTGAGGGCATCGGTGTTGGACCACCCAGCCAGGTGCACAGCAAGGCACCAGACACGCTGGAGGAATGAGAAAGATCTGCCCTTGCTTGGGCTACCATGACCCTTTTGGGCAAGAGCGCTGGCCTGTAACATCCAGGCAGGTGAAGGGGTTCAGTTGCCATGGATCCTGGAGGAAAGGGCAGGTAGCAGCCTCCCGTGCACACATTTTCACCCCATGTGGCCCAGCCTGGGGCGCTCAGTCAGTGCTCATGGAAGGTGCTGGCTTCCTACCTGCATCTAGGCCAGGGGGGATGCCAGGGGAAGTTGTGGGGATGGATGATGCTGAAAGAGAAAGGCTGTTTTGGGCCCCTGCTCATGGTGAGGACCCTCTAAGAGGAGGAGAGAAGCTGGCCTTCCTTTCTCCACAGCCCCCTTTTCGGTCCCATTTCCATGACAGTGTTCTCCCTCCCGCCCTCCCTCTCTGGATGCAGGGAAAGTTCTTCAGCTGCAATGACTTATCCAAGATGACAGAAGAGGAGTGCAAGTGCGTGCTGCTCCACGGACTGGGGGCTTGGTGGGAGGGGTCACCTGGCAGGGGCCTCATATGAGGGGCCAGGAGGCCCAGGAGGGAAGCCCGTTTCCTTGGGCCACTGTGGGGAGGGAGTGTCTGGTGGTGTCCCCTCTGGTCCCAGATCTGGACCCTCTCTTTTCCTGCACACTGACCACCCCGAAGATGGGAGTGGGGCAGAGGTGGCCCAGCCATGCTCAGTGAAGTGACTGGGCCTCCTTACTTCAGGGGTTTCTACTACGTGTACAAGGATGGGGACCCCACCCAGATAGAACTGCGTCCCCGACAGTGGCTACACAACGACTTCCACTTTGACAACGTGCTCTCAGCCATGATGTCACTCTTCACAGTTTCAACCTTCGAAGGATGGCCTCAGTGAGTGAGCACCATGCCCAGGTCCACCAGGGGCACAGTTCAGGCAGGGCCAGGAAGTCTACTGGCCTTCCTGCTACTGCCACCACACCATGCTGAGTCTGCGGCATTGTTGGTGGATTGTAGGACCTGTGTGTTGACTGGGCCCTTCAACGTGAGCCAGATCAGGGGCTCTAAGAAGATGTGGCCCCTCCCTCATGGCTGTGTGCCTCCCTCCTCACAAGGGAACCTACTGTTAGGTTAGGGATAGAGAGGGCGCCATGGCAAAGGCAGGCCCAGGCCAGGATCAGCGCCAGTCCTTGCTGCCAAGTGCTGCCTTCTCCCCACTTACTCCTTACCTACCCACGCCCATGTGTCCCAGCCCAGTTCAGCCTCATCATCCTGTCTGGCCCCTCCTCTTCACCCATCCTCTCCTCTCCTAAGGCTGCTGTACAAGGCCATAGATGCAAATGAGGAGGACGTGGGCCCCATCTACAACAACCGAGTGGAGATGGCCATCTTCTTCATCATTTACATCATCCTCATTGCCTTCTTCATGATGAACATCTTTGTGGGCTTTGTCATCGTCACTTTCCAGGAGCAGGGCGAGACCGAGTACAAGAACTGTGAGCTGGACAAGAACCAGGTGCCTGGGCTTGAGCTGAGGATGGAGGGCTGGGCCCCAACAGCCTCCCACTGCCTTCACTGTGGGCTCTAGCCAAGGAAGAGCATCCTACAGGGTAACCCCAGAACCTCCATCTGATGCCCAGTTCCAACCTTCACATACCCCACTCTATCTCCAACCTGAAGCTATCCCAGTTGGTGAAATGGGGCGAAGGGTCTTCTCCTGGAATCTCCATGATGCTCAAAGAAAGGAACCTGTGGTCAGAATGGGCTGTGATAATCAAAGAGAACCCAGTCCATAGAGCCCCTTGGCTCCAAGCTCCTGGCTATAGCTGTGGATGCAGGGCACAAAATGTGGGATTCCTTCAAGCCCAGGGATGTAGGTGAGGAGAGGGAGGGAGGCTTGGTGTTGACCTCCCCGTTGTGTTCTGTCCTAGCGCCAATGTGTGCAGTATGCCCTGAAGGCCCGCCCACTGAGGTGCTACATCCCCAAAAACCCGTACCAGTATCAGGTGTGGTACATCGTCACCTCCTCCTACTTTGAATACCTGATGTTTGCACTCATCATGCTCAACACCATCTGCCTGGGCATGCAGGTGAGGGGCATCCCAGGAGCTGAGACTGTCTGGACTGGGCCCTGGGCCCGAGCAGAGCAGGGTGAGCTTGGCAGGTTCCCTGGTGTCCCCAGGTGGATCTTTCCAGAGCACCTACTACATGCCAGTCCTGCACGGTGCAATGCTGCACAGGACACAGGAAGTCGGTTCTCTGCTTTGTCATCACATACTTAGAGTTTCTTCAGGAGCAAATTCAAACATACAGATAGTGTGGTGATTCTGTAAACAGGAGATTCCAAGAAGAGGAGGAAGTATAAGAAGTGGAAAGGGTTTCCTTTATTTTTCTTCTGCTACTGCAAATCTGAATGGTGACTGTGGGAATCTGGGCTCTGTCCCAAGAGAAATGGGCTTACTGTTCACAGAACAGGTGTGCCTCTTAGGAGTTGAGCACCCCTTACAGTATAATCAGCAGCCTCATTATCAAGCCTTAATTAAGGATGTGATCATTTAAACTCTATATAAATAGGATTGCACAGTTAGGCTCCCTGCCGCTAGGAGCCCAGGACACACCCAACAATAAGGTCACCTATCATCCAGCCATGAGATTATGGAAAGAAATTCACCAAGCCGGCAGACCCACATCCCATAGAGGATCTTGAACACTGGCTTGGGTTTGGGCTGAATCAGACCAAATTGAACAAGGGCAACCATCAGGTCATCTGAACTACCTGGAAAGGTTTTGTGGAAGGGATGAGACTTAATCAACTTCCTAAAGGAAAAAGAAAAGAAGAGATGTATAAGGATGTGGATTTAGGATAGGCCGTAGCTATGGGTTAAGGATGCCAAGGTTACCAATTTAAATGCCAGCCTGAAATGCCAACATCACTGGGGGCAGCACGTGGGCACAGAAAACTTGCTGTGTTCCATTTCCCACTGTCCAATCCTGACATCAACCACAGTATCCAGGAACCTTCCCTCCTACCCCTGTATCCAAATGACTACATGGAACCTGTCACAGCCCCCCTTGAGGACCTCCCTTCCTCTTTTCCCATGAGTTCTGGGCTTGAAGCCCTGAAACACTTAGTAGGACTTAAACTTCAAGAAACTCCCCTCTCCCTCTCCCTCTCCTTCCGTTGTCTCTTCGTGGTGGGTGTGGGTTGAGAGGCATCTTTGCAGGTTGGTAGAATTCAGGGACCTGCTGAAGCAGGTCTTCATTAAAACAAAGCTAAACCAAGGTCAAGGAGGGGCCCACTGAGGGAAAGGACTGCCCAGGAAGTGGTGCAGCTCGAAGAACACAATCTACAGGCTGGGACTCCCAGCCCACCATTCCCACATCCTTCTTGCAGCACTACAACCAGTCAGAGCAGATGAACCACATCTCAGACATCCTCAACGTGGCCTTCACCATCATCTTCACCCTGGAGATGATCCTCAAGCTTATGGCCTTTAAAGCTCGGGTGAGTGCTGGGGCACAGGCCAGAGGCAGCAGCCGCCTGCTGGAGTCTCAGGTATCTGGCTCCACGTTCTCTCATTCTACGAAAGGCTCCTTCTCCAACAGTTATGCTCCCACCTGCCCAGTCTTTTGTCCACCTCTACCTGCAGAGGCCAGGTGCAGGGTGGGTGAAACTTTAAGCTGCCAGAATTGGCTGATAGTGTTGGCGGCTACCTCATCCCGGCCCTTTCTTCGAGCTCATCCTACAATCCTCTGCTTTCTTTCTGCTCCAAAGCACAGCCCTGGCCAGGGGAGTACCTTGCCAGCTTGTTTTTGTTGTTGTTTTTTAAAATTTGGTTCCCAAGCCCAATGTCACAGCTCTCAGCCCAGCACAGCCTTCCTGTTTTTCTGCTTTGTTAAACGTCAGTCTGGACTTTAAGAAAGGCTCTGGGATGAAATTACTCCCTGCCAGGAAAACGTCCCAAGTTCCTACTTCCCAACAGCCCTCACACCACTGTGCGTTCTAGAGGAAGAGAATGAAGGAGCCAAAGGGCGAGGGTGGTGGGCTGAAAGTGCCAGTGGGAAGTGGGGGCCTGGGCACCCTGCAGTGGCCTGCCCCCAAGATCTGCAGTATGGTAGGCAGAAACACTGCCCTCTGCTGGCTGCCAGACCCCCCCCTCCCAAAGCTGAGCAGTCTCGCATATCTTTCCCTTCCAGGGCTATTTTGGAGACCCCTGGAATGTGTTTGACTTCCTGATTGTCATTGGCAGCATTATTGATGTCATCCTTAGTGAGATCGATGTGAGTACCCTCAAACAGAGCCATTATTAGGGTGGGGCAGAAAACACTTGCTCAGCCCTCAGATGTGTGGGGTGCTCACTGCGTGGGCAACATGGCACCCTGGAGGTTACAGGGAGGAAGGTGACAAGCCATGGCTTGTGCCCCCCAAGGAGCTATGCCCCTGTAGGGCAGAGATACGGAGTTACCAGGTGGACACAGAGTGAGTGCACCAAACTGCGCTAGGCAAGCTGCTGGGGAAGGCAAAGGTCCTCTCCAGGCCAGCGCTCAGGGACAGTTTCAGGGAGGTGGCGAGGGGAGCAGCATCCCAGGCCCTGCAGGAGACACAGTGAAAGATGTGCAGGGAAGGGTCAGGTGTGCGGAGGGAAGTGGACATGTGCGAGTGTGCGGGATGGCTCAGGCGGTGGGAAGTCACCCAAGGTTTAGCATTCCACTTCTAACATGTTAATCTGATGGGCAGGAGGGAAAAATGACTAGACCTAGGGGCCCTTTCTCTAGGGATTCAGTCATTCATTTATGCCACAAATATTCATCCCCCGTGTCAGCTATGGTTCTTGGTGCTAAAGAAACTGTAGTAAATAAAATTATGGAGGCCCTGAACAATAAATAAATCCAGCATACAATAGATTATATGAAAAAAAATAAATGAAGATAAGGATGTGGAGTGGAAGGGAAGGGGAGGGTGGGTGTCAAGGAGAGCCTGGACTTGAGATCTCAATGAAACAAGGGAATAAACCATGCAGGGAGGGGAGATGGAGGGTGTTGTGGGGAGCGAGAAGAGCATATGCAAAGGCCTTGTGGTGAGAGCATGACTGCTGAGCTTGAGGAACAGCAGGAAGCCCTTAGCTGAAGTGGAGAAGGGCAGGGATGAGGAGGAGAGCAGGAGGGCTCAGATTCTCTAGGTACCTGAAGGCCACCACTGCGACCTTGGCTTTTATTCTGAGAAAAAGGAGAGCCCTTTGGTTCTAAAAGGATCACTCTGGCTGCTGTGCTGCGCTCTCACTGAAGAGCACAGCAGGACTGGTCCAGGGAGGGCATTTCGGGGGCCACCGCAGTGACCCTGGTGAGAGGGGATAGTGGCAGGGGCTGGCCATGGAGGTGTGTCTGATCCTTCATCTGTCTTGAAGCCTGAACTAAGAAAGTAAAGGGCCACAGGAGTTGGAACAAGAGATTTAAAGGAGGGGGAGAGGTCCTGGAGATGGGAGGAGAACCCTGTATTTCCCCCTACCAGGTTTTATAAGCACAACCCAGGGAGTATGGCCTTGGTGGGTATCTGAAGCTAGAGACCTACAGAGTGAGGGAGGCCAGAGGAGACAGGGAAGAGGGGAGCTGAGAGGTGGAGGCTGAACTCCAAAAGCAGCATTCCCCAGGACTGGCCAAGCAGCATCCGGGGGAAGGGTGACAATAAAGAGGCAGAAGGGAGCAGGTGGAAAAAGGCTTTCGCCTTCGGAGCCACCCTCGCCAGGGCTATGGCAGTATCCCACCAAGGAAGTGGGTCTCCAGTGCGAGGCAAGCCCTGGCAGGAACCCAGGGCCTTGGCTGCCTCCCAGTGGAGGGCCCTGGGAACCCTTGCCATCCTCCATGCACAGAACAAACAGTGACAGACAGAACTCCATCTTGTCAGAACTGACAAGGACTAGGGTGGGCTCTGGGAAAAACCAGTGAGTGCGAGAGTGTGTGCTAGTGTGTGTGTGTGTGTGTGTGTGTGTGTGTGTGTGTGTGCACGCTGCATCCCCAAGCTCTCAGCATTTGCTGGGGAAATAACATCCTAAAGGACCCCACAGTTCGAGAACAGCACTCCACACAAGCACAGTCAAAAGAGAGAACTCTGCACAGCAAGATAAATAGATCAAATTAAAAATAGTGACTTGCAGAAGTTTGAGGCCTGCGTAGGGGATGCCTGGGTAAATCAGAGCAGTTTCCTTGGCTTCAGAGGCCAGGTTATGGAAGTTCTTACTCTTTAGTTACAGAGGTTGTTACTGGGCACTGCTTGATTTTTTAGAATTCCAAATGTCCCTTACCAATAGCATATTTTTTTTTTAATGTATTTGGTACAGGGTCTCACTACACAGCTCAGACTTCTAGTGATCCTCCTGTTTTTTGCTTCCCCAGAGTTGGGATTACAGGCATGTGCCACCACACCCAGATTTGGTGGCCAGCCCAGTATGCCTGTGAGTGGGGTCAGCTAAATAGTGGTGCAGAGGATCGAACCCTGGTCCCCACGCTTGCCACAGTAGGTGCTTAGGGTGCTGAGTTATCGCGCCAGCCACCAGTAACATATGTTTGAAGTCATGTTAGAACGACTTACAGCCAGGCACAGTGGCACAGGCCCATAATATTAGCATTCTGGGAGGCTGTGGCGGGAGGATCAAATGCTCATGCCTATCCTGGGCAACTTAAGTGAGACCCTGTCACAAAATTAAAACAAAAAAATTAAAATGGTTGTGAATGTAGCTCAGAGCAAATGCCCTGAGTTCAGTTTGTAGTACTACAGCAGTAACAAGAACTTGACATATTTCTGGTACGCAGACCAGGGAAAGGTCTAGCACCACATCTGCTGGGCTTGTGGGATAGTAGGGATGTTACCCCATCAGGACAGCAGCCACAGCCACACGTGCCTGCCACTTGCACAGCCGGTCTGCTCTGTGTACAACACAGCTCTGCACACAGAAGTCATCCTGCTGCACCTGAGAATCACACACAGTGTGTTCAAACCTCTGAAGCCCAGGCCCAGCCCGCAGAAGCTGGCTTCGTTGGTCTAGGTGGGGACCCATCAGAGACAAGTGTTTTGTTTTCTTTTTGCTTTCTGGGTCCTTATGATAGGCAGCCAGGATGGGAAGCCAGGGGTCAAGGGCAGAGCTGCCGCAGCGTGCTTGACAGGGGAAGTGAGGAAGCTCAGGTTCAGTCTACCCGCAGCTGCTTGAAACTTGGACAAGGAATGACTTCTTTTGACCAAACAGGAAGTCTCAGGAAATGTGATCTCAGGGAGAAGCTTAAAGGAATCAGGAAGAACTGTAGCTCCCACACGCCCTGAGCATCCACTCTTTAAAAGCCTGGTCCCTCAGATGTGGGCCTTGGTCCTGCTCCCAGGCTCAGGCAGAGGAGTATCTGCTGGGGGTTCTTGGGCTCCCCTAAAAGACTTTAGCCTTTTGCAGCCAGGACTTCCCTTAGGGCCTCAGGGAAAAAGGATGATGAATAGGTACTTCCCAAGGCACTCTTGCACCCTGTAACCTGGAAACAGGAAGCACCCAAGTCCTTGAAACTTGCGGATGCCTCTCAGAGTCGAGAAGGGACCTGTTTGTGTCCGCTCTCCTCCCTTCTCGCCCCGGCCTCACATTTCCCACAGAGCTTTGTCTTCCCTCTTCACCCCCTGCCCCTGACTGAACACTTGGGGGCCTTCATCTCCTGCCTCTGTCTTTTTCTCTCTTTAACTCTCCCATGCGTCTGTCCTTTCTGACACCTCTCTTTACCTCCCTCCCATGTGTCCCTCCTCCTCTCTCTCCTCTCCTCCCTTCTCCTCGTCTCTTTTTTTCCACAGACTTTCCTGGCCTCCAGCGGGGGACTGTATTGCCTGGGTGGAGGCTGCGGGAACGTTGTAATTCCTGGCTGCATGAATCTGCCCTGCATGCGGCCGGCTCTGCCCCGCAGCTTGCATGCTGGGCTGGCTGCCTGCATTGCATGGGATGGGGCCGGGTGGAGGTGGGGGGCTCCACGGTAGAACATGCATGAATGTAGTGGCTTTCTGAGAGCCCACAAAACTGCAAAGTGAGGCTTCTCTCCAGCACCCTCTATACAGATGGGGCCGCAGTCCGGAGGACTGTACTCACGTGTACTGCAGCCCAGTTCATCCTGGCCAAGGCTTTGGGGGCACAGGAAGCGGGGCAGGGAGGGTTCTTTCTTTAAAAGTTATGCTTGTGTCTAAGGCTGGCACAAGGGCAGGTGCTTGCCTGGCTTAAAACAGCCAAGAATAGGGTGGAACAGAGGAGAATGAACAGGTTGGATTTACTATAGATCAACCAAGATTTGGTGGAACTTAGCACTGGAGGACACTAGGGGCCACCAGGGTCCTTAGCTCAGTGCCATCTTAAGAAGAAAGGGAGGTGAACAGGAGGCTCCAGAGGGCTGGCAGGGTGCCTGGCTGCAGCCTCAGACTCTCTGCACAGCTTGGCATTCCACTTCCAGCCCTTCTTACAGCCAAACATCCCTGAGCCCTGAACCCCGGGTTGGTCCAGAGCTAAAGGACAGCAGGGGCCATGAGGTGGGGCTGGAGATCACCCCAACACACACACACACACACACACACTGCATCTCCTGCCTGCCCTGCCCCTTACCCTGACAAAGGGCTGTCCCCAGACTGACCTCTGGGGCTACTGCCCCACAGGACCCAGATGAGAGTGCCCGCATCTCCAGTGCCTTCTTCCGCCTGTTCCGGGTCATGAGGCTGATCAAGCTGCTGAGCCGGGCAGAGGGAGTGCGCACCCTGCTGTGGACGTTCATCAAATCCTTCCAGGTGGGTGCCCTGCCCAGAGGACCAGGGTCCTGGAAACTGTACTCACCTGGGAAGCCCAACATGGAGCTGAGCCAGTGGTGCAGTCCTGGGGGTCCTAAGGCCAGGTGGGGCCTGAGCTGAAGGAGGGTGTGGGTTGCAGGCTGGTGGTGGGGCCTTGATGGATACTCTCTCCTGGCCCTGCAGGCCCTGCCATATGTGGCTCTCCTCATTGTCATGCTTTTCTTCATCTACGCTGTCATCGGCATGCAGGTGAGAGACTCCAGGCCAAGCATGAGCCATGGCCACATTGGAGGAGATACCTGTAGGCCTGAGCAGGCCCAGTCAGCATGTGGCCCCATCTGCCTCCTGCCTCCCAGCAGCCCAGGGATTAGCTGTGGGGCTGGAGAGGGGATCATGCACTTTAGTCCCAGAGGCTTCCACATCATGAGTCTGGAATAACCTAGGAGGGACCTTGGCATCCAGATGGACTGTAGAGCCAGACCTTGTCTCTAGGGCTTTGGCTGGAGGCCTTCCTCTGGGGATGTTTGTCGACACTGTGACCCCCAGGTCTGCTTGCAGCTGGGCAAACTGGCCCACTCTCCTATTCTTTGGCTTGGTGGCTTAGAAAGTAATCTGGATTTTAAGGCTTCAGATCTCCTGAGGCCTGAAGTGAAGGGATTGGAGAGAGGTAGGGGTGAAGTTGGGGAAAAAGCAGTGGAAAACCCCACTCTGGGATCTAGGCTGTGAAGTCAGAGCCCTTTGTAACTTGCAGATGTTTGGAAAGATTGCTATGGTGGACGGAACCCAAATAAACCGGAACAACAACTTCCAGACCTTCCCCCAGGCTGTGCTGCTGCTTTTCAGGCAAGAGTCCCCACCGCCCTACCCATGACAGTCCCCACTTTGCTCTGTCCTGATCTGCACTGGCAGTGCCAGCTCCACAGCAGGGTTCTCTGCCTGGTGTCATGCTCACCTGTCACCACCTTGGTTATTCTAATCATCCATGAGCAAGTGGCCCAACATCGTCATTTTGTACTCAGCCACTCCACTGGGTGGAGGGCAGCCCCAGTCTGCCACTCCCTAGGACACACAGGCCCACAGGACTTCTCTCCTCCAGGTGTGCAACTGGTGAGGCTTGGCAGGAGATCTTGCTGGCCTGCAGCTATGGGAAGCTGTGTGACCCAGAGTCAGACTACGCCCCGGGTGAGGAGTATACATGCGGCACCAACTTCGCCTACTACTACTTCATCAGCTTCTACATGCTCTGCGCCTTCCTGGTGAGATGCCTGGAGTGCTGGGTCAGGGAGGGGAGCCAAGGAGGCAGGGCCTGCTTTCTCCTTTCTGGCTGGCTATGTTTCCCAGGCATACATCTCAGGGACACAGAGAGCTTTGGGTTAGATCTCTCTTGTTACGGTCAGGTTGGCTGTGGCCTTTTTGTATGTGTACTTTTTTCAGGCTGAAGAATTGCAGAATGTTGTTATTTAATTCATAGTGTATTGGCTGATGAGACAGCTCAGCAGGCTAAAGCACCTGCTTAGGCAAGCTTAGGAAAGTGCAGGGACCACAGTTTGATCCCCGACCCCACGTGCTGTGCCAGCCCAGCCCCCAGGGTAGGCTGAGCCAGCCACACACACACACACACACACACACACACACACACACGTATAATGTGTATATTCATTAACAACCAATAATGGAAAGGAATTTAATGGGGCCATGTCCTAAATAGATAGGGGTTTCCTACAAAGCTACTTATACCTACTTGTTCCTCGACCCTACTATTCCTTGGGGAAGAGAAATTTGTCCCATAGTGAGGAGGGTGAGACTCCCATGACAGATCCCCAAGGGATCCTAGTGGCATTACAAGCAGAGGCGTAGGTTGCCCTGAGTATCAGGATTGCTGTCTGTCCACATGGAAGACACCGCGGGCCCCCATTCCTGCACTTCATTCCTACATTGGCTCAAAGCTACTGCTTGAGGGTCTGATGTATGGCAAGCACAGGGCCAGGTGCCGGGGATGGAAGAACCGTGAGAGCTGGTCCCAACCCAGTTGGAGCTCACAGGCGCAAGGACATTGTCCTGCTCACTTTCCTGTTGTTGGACACACGATGCTGAATGCCCAGAGCTGAAAGGAGGAGAGACTGATTTTGGCTCAGAGTTTCAGTCTCTGGTTAGCTGATTCTGGGGCAGATACAGGGTGGCAGAGAAGGGCATGGTACCAGAAAAGGTGCTTAGCTCATGCCAAGAGGCTATTTCTCAGCAGGAAGCAGAGAGTCTAGGGAGGAGATAGGGACAAGAATTCAGCCCTGCAGAGCAGACCCTCAGTGACCCACCTCCACCTGGCTTCATCTCCCAGCACACACCAGCCACTAAGTTCATCGATGGATGAGTCCACTGCTGAGGGTCATGCCCCATGAGCTAGTTACCTTCCACACATAGAAGAATTTTGAGGAACTTTTTAGATCTAAACCTGAACAGGAGCCCATGTGTGAACAAGCCCTAGAACTCAATGCCCCAACAGGGACAGAAAAGGCAGGAGACATGGGCACAGAGGTGGGGACACAGCCTCTCTGGGTAGGGTGGCAGGTTGAGGTAGGAATTGTAGGACAGAGCCTCTCAGGGTGGATTTCAAAGAATAAGCACAACACCCTGGCCAAGCCTGCCCATGGAGGAAAACAAGAGTGGGCACAGTTTTGCTGGTGCATAGAATGTGGATTGTGTAGGGGGCCTGGGATGAGGGTGCAGAAGCTGTGCCCCCATGCCTGGAAGACACCTCCTAGCTCCCAGATCCCCTGTTGCCTTGCATTGCCTGCCCTTCCCTTTGGAGCTATTGGTCCTTCTCTTACAGATCATCAACCTCTTTGTGGCTGTCATTATGGACAACTTTGACTACCTCACACGGGACTGGTCCATCCTGGGCCCTCATCACCTGGATGAGTTCAAGGCCATCTGGGCTGAGTATGACCCAGAGGCAAAGTGAGTACAGGCTGTAGGCTCTGTGCTGGGCTGTCCACCCCTCCATCCTGGTCCCAATCCTAATGTCCTCTAAGGAGTCACACTGTTCATCTATTCCAAGTCCCAGCCAAGAAAATCAGAGAGGCCCAGGGCTGGAAGGCATCCCATAGCCTCCCAGATGGGAAGACCTTTGACTTTTTTAGGAAACTGTCATCTGACTTCTGCTTGGACACTCCCAGGAGTTGGGAACTCAGTACCCCAAAGGAGCTATTAACCTGGTGTCCCAGAGAGCCCCACTGACCAGCTGCATTGAAGCTTGATTAAAATGCAGTGTCCAGGCCCCATCTAGATGTGCTGAGCTAAAATTTTCTTAGATGTTGACTTGGTCCACAGGGCATCCACATGCATGTTAAAGCTTGAGAAACACTGTTCTCTTACACTCTGCCTTTAAAAAGGTAACAAACTCATATTTACTGAATGTTCCACAGGCACCAGGCCCTGTGTTAAATGCTGTGTACTACCTCCTTTAATTCCTGCAGCAAACTATGGCACAGGTCCCCTGACCATCGCACAAAGGACGAACTAAAGTTCAGGGAGATTAAGTCTCGCTGGGTTACTAAAATATGGTACCTAGATTCAATGCAGGTCTGTCTGGCATCCTTAGCAGCTGGGGTTTAAAGCGTTTACATCAAAAAGATAAAAATCTAGCTTCCTTTGCCAATCACCCACAAGTCTTCACTCAGTCTTCTAAAACCAAACAGAAAATGCCCAATCTCTGTTACAGTCAGCCCAGGAGAAGAAAAAGCCAGTAGAACCTTCCAAAATGATTTTCTCAAGAGCACACACCTTGTGTCTTACCTGGGTCATTTCTTTGACCTTTGTGGTTACTCTGCTTTATGCCTATTCTAGAAAGTCACAGTCACAAAAAAGATGTGTTCTGGCTCTGGACCAGTCTCTAAAAGTAGGTTTTTCTCTCTCTTGGTCCTTACTGTCTACTTCTATTCATAACAGCCCAAGGGCTCTCATGGCTTGACCAAAATTTGAAGTAGCTCTTGGCACAGGGAAAATGAGACCCAGATTCCAGAGCTGGAGATCTCCTGTCTGAGAGACTGCTCCCTAAAAGTCAGCCTCTCTTTGTACCCCCAAAAGAGAGCCTGTTCTTGGTGGTGGGCAACTATACTCACATTGTCTCTTCTGTTAAAAGGGTACAGAGCTTCCATTTCCTAAGCATGTTTGGAAAGTAAGGCACATGTCTCCTGCCTCCTGCTTCCCTCCCCTTTACCCAGTCCGGGTTGTGATATAGGTCTGTGTCACCCTGCAGGGGGAGAATCAAGCACCTGGATGTGGTGACCCTGCTGAGGAGGATCCAGCCCCCTCTGGGCTTTGGGAAGTTCTGCCCACACAGGGTAGCATGTAAGGTAACCAGTACTGCCAGGGCGGGGCAGTCCCAAGAGAGGAACAGGTGCAGGGGTGGCGGCAGGAGCAGGGGCTGTCCAGGCCCTGACGGGTGAGTTGTGTTAGAGCTGTGGTTTCCAGGGTCCTTGTGTTTTAAGAGAATCAAATTAAAAAGAGAAAAGTGTCATTTTGGCTCACAGTTGTGGGGGTTCCAGCCTGAGGTGAGGCAGATTCATTAATTTGAAGTCTCTGGAGGGGTTGGGGAGTGGTACCTCATGGTGGGAGTGAGGGCTGCAGCAGAACTATTCGTCTTGTGGCCAGGACTTGAAAGGAAGAGACAGGGGTCCCACAGTCTTCTTTGAGTGCACAGCCTAAGTGACCTAAAACCTCCCACTAGTCCTTTTCCTTAAGTTTCCTTCGCTTTCCAGCGCCACTGGAGACCAAGCCTTTATGCATGGGCTTTTTTTTTTTTTTTTTTTGAGACATTCAAGAGCCAAATTATAGAAGTCTTCAATTCTGTCCTTAATGACCTAGAGCCTTGATAGTGTCCGCATCATCACGGGGTCCTCTTGTGGAGGGCATCCTGGTCAGCCGCATCCCAGCCCTCAGGTCCCATCCCCACCTGGCCCGCAGATCAGGTGAGGATGACCTTCCAGCTGGGCCTAAACCCAGCTCTGCATCAATCCCTGCCTCTCCCTGCACAGCGGCTGGTGGGAATGAACATGCCCCTGAATAGCGACGGCACGGTTACCTTCAATGCCACACTCTTCGCCCTGGTGCGCACAGCCCTCAAGATCAAGACAGAAGGTGAGGCTTCGAGTGGGCAGCCCCTGCCTTCCCTTGGAGGATGCTTCCTGGCATAGATCCTGCAGGGCCACAGGAAGAAGCAGAGGGAGTGTGGCCCACAGCCACAGAGTTTGCTTGCCCCTCAGGGATCAGAGGCAGCCCAAAAATTTCACGCAGGATAAGGTCATAAGGTTACTAAGAATGTGTTCCCACTCTTTTCAACTATGCCTATGGGCTAGAGAAGTGTCAGTGCTGGGTGTGGGTGCCCTGAGGTTGGCTCTAGGCAAGGACGGGAAGGACCCAGGTAGTATTAGGCAGGCTGATAGGAGTCCACCTTGACCCCACTAAGCCTAGAGGTCTTCACCTACTGGGAAGATAGACATGGCAGGAAGAGTGTAGAGGAATCGGGTGGGATGTCCTGGACTCCTGGCGCTGAGGGCTCCCACCGCATCAGGGCCATCCTACAGCAGGGCCACTGCACATGACTGAGGCAGCACAGACAGGTTCCTTGGAAGGGCATGAGTTATAGAGAAGCAAATTAGAGCCATGCAGGATAAGCCAAGGTTATGGTGGGGGATGAGCACATGACCCCAGGGCTGGGCTGCCTCAGGGGGACAGTGCTGTCCTCATCCTTATGCAGCACCATAAGCATTCTAAGGAACACTGAGAGCTGGGTGTGGTGGCACATGCTGTAATTCCAGAGAGGCTGAGGCAGAAGGATAACCAAGAGTTCAAGGCCTGCATGAGCTACAAAGTGAAACACTGTCTCTAAAAAGCAAAACAAATATAATAAACAAAAAGAATTTTTAAACAGGATGTTGAACCAGTGTTTGCTTAGTGACTGGTTCTGGGAAAGGTTCGGTGGGTAGTTGGCAAGCTTACCAAGTGGCTTAGTCTGGATGGCTTTGGAGTCATTCCTGTTCTTCCCTTGTCCAGGTAACTTTGAGCAGGCAAACGAGGAGCTGCGGGCCATCATCAAGAAGATCTGGAAGAGAACCAGCATGAAACTTCTGGACCAGGTCATCCCTCCAATAGGAGGTGGGTGCTGCCCTGGGAGACCACCAGTGCAGATGAATAAGGGGCAAAGAACCCTTCAAGAAGTCCTTCGAGAATCTGTAAATACTATAAATGGACCCCATGGGCACCCTGCAGGGTAGATGCCAGCCTCAGGCCAGAAAGTGCCCACTGACCAACTCAACAAGAGGAGAGGGCCAGGATGCCCAGGCCTGCTTCTTATTCTGGACCCAGGGTCAGATCTCCACCTTCAGGACCTCCTTTGTGGTTCCTCTGCAGATGATGAGGTGACAGTGGGAAAGTTCTACGCCACATTCCTCATCCAGGAGCACTTCCGGAAGTTCATGAAGCGCCAAGAGGAATATTATGGGTATCGGCCCAAGAAGGACACTGTACAGATCCAGGTAAGATCAACCTGGGGAATTTCTATGCACCTCTCCTCTGAACCAGGTCTCCAGACTCCAGGTCCCTCTCTGTGTCCTTGGGCTGGGGTTGGAGACAGGGAGGACAGAAGGGATCTCCAAGGATTGAGGGAAGGAGATGACAGATCTGGATGATACACGATGGGAGACATTTCAAGCTGATGAAAAGAACCCAGAGATCATCTTCTCTGGATGATGGAACTATAGAAGACAGGACTTGTTCAACGGAGAGACTAGAAAGGAACGGTGGACTTGGAAGAAAGCAGATCCTCGGGGGTGTTTAAAATGCTCACTTGGAAGGCTAGCCAGACAGCTCAGCAGACTAAAGCACCTGCTTAAGCAGAGCTCAAGGACCACAGTTCGATCCCCATCATGCCATGCCAGCCCTGTCCCCGGGCCATGCTGAGACAGCGATTGAGACTAGGTGTGGTGGTGCATGCCTGTAATCCCAGCGTTTGGGAGGTTGAAAACAGGAGGATCGCTATGAGTCCAATCTACATAGTGAGACCCTGTAGACCCTTACTAAAATTTTTTAAAAAATGCTTTCTTGGGAATGAAGAGAAAACTTCGTGTTTTGTCTCATGTGGTTTTCATTTTTACTTTTTGTGTTCATTATAATGCACACAATTTAAAACCCACACATTTGAGATGTGTGATAAATTATTTCAATTGCCATTTTTATTTTGATGTAATTTCATACTTAAAAGATTTCAAGTGCGATATATGAACCTTTCTCCTAAACTGAGAGTAACTCTAACATGATGTTCCATCAACCCAGAACATTTTAATGTGCATTTCCTGCAGACAGGGATATTCTTGGGCAAAACTCTCCTACATAACTGCCATATGTCTTTAGAGATCAGGAAACTAATTTTGTTAATGTGACCATTGAATCCTCAGAGTTCATTCAAGTTTTGCTAGTTCTCAGTCATGTCCTTTATGTCAGTAGGTTCAATCCAGAATTTCACATTGCATTTAGTTGACATATCTGCTTAGTCTCTTCCATCTAGAATGGTTCTTCAGTCTTTAACATAACCTTGACACTTTCGAAGATTACAGGACAAGATGCCCTGAGGTTGGCTTTGTCTGGTGTTTCCTTAGGCTAGACATAAAATATACATCTTGGATAAGAATGTCACAGAAGTAGTCTGTGTCCTCATTGTAAGCTATCAGGTGATACCAATTTTGATTTGTCTTATTGCTGGTAATATGAATTTTGGCCAGGTAAAAAATTATGCTATAATATTATGTTATATTATATTGGAAGAGTGCAAAATATCTCTCCATAGGCCTGAGAAAAGACTCTGGGAACAATTTGAGTGTGGATGGCAAAGAGGTGAGAGCAGGCCTGGGAGCCTTACAGAGCTGTGTGCCATAGAATGAGCCAGGAAGGAGAACAGGCTTGGGAAAGCCCCACCTTCAGGGACTAGAAATGAACAAAAGCCAGGCATGGTTGTGTGCTCCTGTAATCTTAGCACTCTCAGAGACTGAGTAAGAAAACTGCCAGTTTGGCCTCAGCCTGGGCAATTAGCAATTTAAGGAGAGCCTGGCCCAAAAGTTTAAAAATATAGGGCTGGCCAAATAGCTCAGCAGATTAAAGTGCCTGCAAGCAGGTGCAGTGGCCAGGGGTTCATCCCCAGGGCCTGCAGTGCTGGCCTCGCCCCCGGGGCACTCTGAGGTGGCACTTGAGACTGGGTGTTGTGGAGCATGCTTGTAATCCTAGCTCTTGGGAGACTGTAAACAGGTGGATCACTATGAGTCTGATCTAGTAGTGAGACTCTGAACACTCTATAGACCCTTCCCTAAAATTTAAAAAAAATAGTTTAAAAATATAAGGGCCAGCCAAATAGCTCAGCGGATTGAAGTGCCTGCTCAGGCAGATGCAGCAGCCGAGGTTCTATCCCCCACTTGTGGTGCTGGCCCTGCCCCCCAGGGCACACTGAGAGGGTGATTGAGACTGGGTGTGGTGGCACCCACCTGTAATCCAGCTCTTGGGAGGCTGAATGCAGGGAGATCACAAGTCTGATCTATGTAGTGAGACCCTATACACCCTGTAGACCCTTACTAAAATACAAAAAATAATAAATAAATAAAAGTTTAAAAATAT